CAATTATTGCGTCAGCTTGCGTGAAACGAGACGCCAGTGATTGGCCAGTTTCAAAGAGCGGGAAATCCCCGTTGAAACCTGCTCTTCCGCGCTATCCGTTCCTGTGGTACTCCCGCTGACGTCTTTACCATCACCACATCGCGACCTAGCGACGCCAGTCTCTTCGTCAGAAATTAAGAGACACTTCGGCGACGATCAGTATCGCGTTGTGCGACATCACCGTAAGATCACGTTGTGGTGTTTTTGATCGTTGTGTATTTGTTCTCTGTTTTCGAGTGATGCGATTTATTCACAACGTGCTATGACATACATTTATTGTTTAGTTTTGCGTAAAACGCAATAATTTATCATAGAAAATATATCATTGGAAAATAAAATAAAAGTTATTTAAAGTTATAATTTGGTTTGACAATCAACTAATCTCGAATATGGATCTGTTCGATAATTACAATAAAACATTGGAGGAGGTGAGTTATGTGAGTTATAGTGATAAAGAGATTCAACTTTGAATAATTTAAATCGTTTCGATAAAATATTTTTGCTTATTCAATATGATTCTGATTTATCTATGTTTTCTGCATTTTCTACTAAAAAGAAACACACGAGTTTCATGTGTTATCAATAAAAAAGTTTTTCATTGCTATACATACGACTTTGGTATTCTTTAATAAACTTTTTAAGTTATATATTTTTATATATATTTTTATTTGATATTTGCATAAGAGAAGCGCACAATTATTAGATATTTTATAAAATTCTTTAAATTGATTCATAAATTTATACTTATAAAAGATAGCTTCTTAAATATTTTGAAATTGAGATAAAAAATTAAAGAATTATAATGTTAATTTTCGATACTTAATTAAATATAATATTAGATTTTACGGTCTAAAATAAGACAAATATTAAGACAATAATAAAATATTAGAATTCTAAAGAAATCAAATTTAAAAATTTATTAAATAATATATGATCGATTTTCAACTGAATAGTTTTAATACTAATAGATATGATATTTTATGAAAATATGAAAATAAGTATAAAATAATATTTTCTTGTTAAGACTTTATTTTTAAGAATATTCTATTAGAACATGTTTAGTATATAATTAATCACTTAATGAATTTTCAAATTCGATTTCCTCGGAAATGATATCTTAAAATTACAAAGAAATTTTATTTTACAATTTTCATAAAATAATTTATCATTATATAAGAAATTAGCTAAATAAATCTATACTTGACTGATTTTCAAATGATATTTTTTTTTCGAAAACGATGCATCAAATATAATTTTATTATTGTTGATTTTCGTCTTATTTTAAGCCATAGAACGTCCCTGACTCCATTTGTACCATGAATTACGAGACATTTTAAATACACGTGTATATACGTATACGTGTATAAATATTTATATATTTAACGTATTAAACAAAAAGAATGCTAAAGGAATTTAAAATGCAAAAAATGTTTAGATATACGTTAAATGATTAATGATTTTTAAATAATTTTTATTTTTTTTTTTTTTTAAGAATTATTTTACACAAAAAATAAAACTCGAGTGTCTATATTCAATAAGTATTCACACTTTGGTACGAAATAAACAGATTGTAGATTTAACGAAATGATTTGTGAAAGCAATAAAATGTCGATTTTACGAAATAATATTTCTGACGATATCGTATCAGTTTTTATTGACACAGAAAATAGTTGCATAAACATTGATATAATTAATTACAATTCATGATTGAATAAGACGATCGATATAAAATTTTTGAAACAATCTTTCAAAAAAATAATAAACAGTCTAAAAATTTTAAGTAATATGTGCAACAATATTTTTTTTGAATCGAATATTCAAGAAATAGAAAAAAGTATAATAAAGATATGTCATGGGAAAAAATTTATAAATATATAATATAATATAATATCTGTAAATAAAATACAATTATCATTTATATTAATTAAATTATGATAAATTATTGATTTAATTGTGATTGGACTACACTATTGTACATAATTTACAATATTAATTTAAAATATTATTTATAATAAAAAATTATCATTTACCATATGCTTGATTATAATGTATGTTCAAAACACATAGTATTTAAAAAAAGAATAATGAATAATTTGAAACAATGGCCTGTGGTTACTTATTATAAATTATTAATATCCATTCAACACAGATATTGCATTAAGGATCAAGATGTAAATATAAAATATGTATTTTCATTGAGCATGCATATAAGCCAGTCTGAGAAAACAAGATTGTCGTGATCTCGTTTTTTTTTAGTCTTTGATAAAAAAAGATGAGACGCTTAAAGACACCAACAAAGTCATTAACGCAGAAATTCGATTTCATTTCGGATTTACTTGTCATGTAATACGTTATATTTGCAGGTATATCCTTCGCTTTTTTATCCAAACGAAGACGATGATCATTCTGTACTGGATATGGACACTCTGGTCACATTAAAAACTAATGCTACACGTAGTTATGAACCTGTCCGAAAAAAATTTTATTTTGGTAATTGATAAAAAGAATTATTTTGTTTGACCAGTATTATATATTTCCAATAGTTTGTTATAATACTATTTAATGTGATTCTCTTTTATTGTTATAAGAGATTATATATTTCAATACGTGTATTCTTTATCTTTAACCGTATGTTTTTGTTTTGTTATATGATCTAGGTGATGAAAATAATGAGATCGATGGTACCGGCTGGTTATACAAACCTACTAAAAACTGGTGTCAAGAGGAAACAATAAATTGGTTGATGACTGCAGCATCTACAATTGGACAACCATATAGTCTAATTCAACATAGTCTTGCGGTACCAGGAAACGAATTGATCACCTTCACTAAAGACGATTTTAAGGCTCACGATCCCACATACGGAGATAAGCTCTATGACTTACTCCCTCCTCAACATATGTGTACGTATGCATACCTTATGTATGTATGTATATAATTATTACGCAAATATCGATAATAAAAATATTAAACACTTATAAACATCAAATTATATTAATTATAAATTATATATATGAAATATTATTTTTTTTGTATTTTAATTATTTATTTAAAAAACATTATATAAATATAAGATATAATTATTAAAAAGAATTTGTATAATTGTAGTTTCACCACTTGATACCATTCATCCTCATTTCGAGGACGAATATACGCGAATTAATTCCAGCAATACATCAGGTATGAATCCTTTGAATTGTTAAATATAATTTTTTTTATAATAGATTATTTAAATTTTTTATTTTTATAGATGCAGAATCAGATAATAATAGTATTGACGTTTCCACTACTAAACGATCGCCGGGTAGACCAAGAATATTAAAACCAAAAAAAAATTGTAAGTATTGTATGAAATATTTTTTAATTTAATAATATTAATATATGTAATGATATTTATATAGCTACCAGCCAAGGAAAGCTTTGGGAATTCATTAGAGACTTGTTACGTAATCGCGAAACATGTCCAAGTTTAATCTGTTGGGAAGATTATTCTCAGGCAAAATTTCGATTTGTTAAAAGCGACGAAGTCGCAAAACGATGGGGTTCAAGAAAAGGAAATACAAAAATGACATATGAAAAATTAAGCCGAGCAATGAGGTAATTTTTTAAATATTTATGTAACATTTAATTTAATAATAGAACATGAGATTTTCACATAAACAATTTTTTCAGGTATTATTATAAAAGTAAAATCTTTCAACCCGTACTTGGTAAAAGATTAGTTTATCAATTTGGACCAAATGCAAAAGGTTGGCAAACTGACAATCCGAACTTTCGGCGTTAAAAATTTAGGATTTCATTTTTTGTAAAAAATGTACAAAAAGTAAGAGTAATTTTTATGTTCTATTATGAATATTGTACACGAGATATGTTATAAAATTTAAAAAAAAAATAATTCTTTTTGTATAGATCTGTAAATGTATTTTTGATACCAGATAAGAAATTGAAGTATTTTGATAGTGAAATGAAGTGATTTAAAATGAAGCGTTTAAAATATCGATAATTATAAAAGACTAAGAAAAAATGGATCTAGTATTATAGATAATATATACTGATTAGATTTAAATAATCTAAAGAAAGGTATGAATGAATAAAAATGTCGAGATTTTTCACATTTTTATACGTACGATTGATTATGAAAATACGTGATAGGCGAAATGTGAGTACGAATTAATTTAGTCTCATAAGATTGTTTTTCAATTTATTTGATTTTAAGCATATATCATAATAGTTTATTTTACATAAAAAGTATACATATTATAATTAAGGAAGGCAATAATTCTCTGACTTATGATCAAATAAATTTATGATTACTTATTTTTATATATCACAGAGTTGTGTATTACCTTAATCTGGAAGCATAAGTACTTTTTAAATTGGACCTGAATTATAAATAAGATGCAGGCCAATTTCAAAAAAGGAAACTAAATTATGAATTCTTAAACAATAGATCATCATTAAATTTTTTTCCTAAAATAATTTTAAAGGAATCCCAGAAAAAGTAATTATATTATTTTCTTTATGAATTATGAATTAAGATAAAAAAACGAATTTCAATTTATATTAATTAATTTTTTAGTTTCGTTAATGATTAATTATTAGGTGTGGATACTTATTCTATAGCACATGCAAGAAAGCTGGCAAATATATTTATATTTTTAAAAAATTCTGGACGATTTGATTAATGATTAATAACTATTAAATATTAAACTTCAAGATATATAATACCGCGACGGAAGAAGATATGCCAGTAACAAGCATGCATTTTTTTTTTTTAATTCTTTAAAATTATTTGTATACTATTGGATTATATCTAATTTGAGCGAATTTGAAATCGTTGTTTGTATAATAAATATATGTATAGTAATAAGAATAATTGCAGTTATTAACTTAATCATTTTTAAATATATGCATTTAAAGAAATATTACTCAAACGAAATATTTATGCAACCAGGAGGTATATACTTAAATATTTTTGTTACTACTATTTGAAAATTATTTTTATAATTTTAATTGGAAAAGCTGACATATCACTTTTGAAACTACATAAAACGTTAATTTTATAATCAATTATGTATAACGTCAGCAATTATCAAAAAGGCACAAATCGTAAATAATTTCTACTTTAAAGTACGCATTAGCGGCTGTGTTTGATATTCATATTGATATTGATAAGAATGTATTTATGTAAGATAACTTACAGAAACAATCAAATGTGATCTTTGGTTTATATATATATATAAAAAATATAACATAATAATATTAAAAATTCTACAAAGACTTCATATTTATTTTCATTATTGCAGGAATTAAAACTTTTAATATGTACGAAATTATATGATTTATATAATTTTAAAAGAATTTAAAATATAAATCACAATATCATAAAAAATAGCATATCGAACGATTTCTCCTATTTTTTTAAACTGTATTCCATCTATTATTACTTTTAACAATAATCGTTAATAGTTTTATAGCAAGCTGGACCCTATGTATTTATTTGTTTCTTTTTGTCTTATTTTTTTTTCTTTTGGCACTTATATCTATTAAATGGACTTTAAAATGAATATTGATTACTTATTCTAAATAATAAACTTGACTGATATTCTTAATCTGAATTGTAATCATAAGTCCTCGAATATCTCTAACATGTCTACGACAGATTAATTTACCGCATAAAATTTCTCCTATAAAAAAATTTTTATATTTATTTATATTTATATAATAATTAATAATTTGTAGTTTAATTTTTATTTTATTTACCTTCGGTAATGCTAATAGGTTCGCTCAATGAAAATACTGTTTGTTTCCAATGTGTTGGAGGCGAATAAGGTCCTGTACTAAAATGTACTGGATTGTCCAAATCAAAAAAAATATCAAAATAACCAACAATTGCAGTCAATGATCCAGTCTTTTTTACTTTGAATTCAAAAGGTGACGAAAAATTTACACAATCTTTCGTTACTTTATACAAATCGAATGCTTGAATTTCTACAATGCTAGTTATTAATTCCTCAGCATTACAAATTTCTATGCTTGGTTCACGTACAACTTCGGCTTTCATACAACTCATTTTAAAACCATACACATTAGACCAATAATCAATAAGTTCGACGTATCTTCCTATAAAAATTTATGAAAATTCAAAATTTAATTTTTTATTTAAAAAATAATGAATAAAATATACAAATCGAAGATATTATAATTCTATTATGCAAAAAATACATACTTGTATCTCCACTTCCTACAATACTAAGTGTACATTTATTAGGAAGAAGTATTCCACCAGGAGTTAAATAATTATCTCTTGCATATATCACGGTATCTAACATACCCTCAAATAGAAGAAAATATCCCATCCATTCAGATACAATTGCATCTACTTTATCTTCATCAAGATTAATGTCTTCCAATCGTCCTTTTTTTATAGTAATAATATCACTTAAATTGTTCTCTCTATATTACATTAGAAAGAATATTGTTAAATTGATATTAAAAATATTATTTTCATAGGTATATTTATATTCTCATATAAATATTTTATTTACCTCACTATATCTATAGCATGGTATATTACATCTGATTGATCAACACTAATTACTTTACGACATCCAGTTTTTGCTGCAAACATAGATAAAATGCCAGTTCCACAACCAACATCTAATATCACACAATTATTAAATCTATTCGCATTTGTTAATAATGCATCTCTGTAACTTTCTGTTCGTACTTTGTCCTATAAAAAAATTATAGTTATTATTAAAAAAAATTGTACATTTTATGTACATATATTAAAAAAATAAAATCGATATACTTACTGTTAACATCTCATGATGTATAGCAAAATGACTATATGTATTAAAATAACCTTTATCAATATTACAATTAGAATTTCTAGAAGAACTAAAAGTATTTTCATCTAAATCACTATCTAGGACCAATTTCTGTGCTTTCTCTGTCATTTCATCTATTTGCTAGAATTATATATGATTTTATATCTATTATATTTAATATACAAATATCAAATTTTGTTATAAATACCTGTTTTGCTAAAAAACATGCTAATTCACGTTGTTCTAATTGTGCTCTAAGTGTTTGTATTGTTCTTTGTAATTCAGCAAAATGTGCTTCAGATAATGTAACACAACCATTCTCTGAATTTACTGTATATGCAATAGGTTTTGTTGTTTTTTCTTCCATATCTTCAATATCTTTATACATAATAAAATTTATATATAATATAAATAGTAAAATTTATATATAAAAATAATAAAAAAATTATTAATTTATAAAAATTATTTTTATTAAATTTATTTATATTTCTACTTACCAAACATTAACCAAGGATCATCTTCTATAACAGGTCTTAAATATTCTTCGCTTTCCCATGTTTTTATGTTTAATGCATTTAATTGGTCAGATAAAACATTTTTATGTCTAATAAAATTAATTAATTTAATATATGAATAAGTATCTAATGAATGTTTGATTATGAAACTTTTTAAGTCAAATCTATGTGAAGCTACAAGATGTTCTAATGCCATAGAAAAATTATTATATATTTCATTACAAAAAAGGCACGGTATAGATTCAAAATCTTCCGTTATTTCATCCCAATTATCACCACTATCATCATCACTTGTTTCATCCATTTCACAATTATAATCACATTTTGAAGAAATGGCTAAAGAATGAAAAATATTAAAAGAAATTAATTTTATAAAATATTTTTTGTATTAAATATTAAATGTTAATAAAAATTTATAATATAATATCAATAATATCAATAAATAGATTTATTTTATTATTTATAAAATTATTGAATAAATTTTAAAATATTTATGTAATTTTATAATTTATTTTTAAATTAAATAAATATGTAAAATAAAAATTTAATATAATACAATATATGACATAATTATAAATATTTATTTATTTTATGTCATATATATTAACAAATATAAATTAAAAAATATTATTTCTTATTACCTTGATCAGTCATTTTGCAATTAATACACAAAATAGTATGCAACAATTATTCGTGTAGAAATAAGATTGTTTCAAATTTTCAAGGTTAGAGATTCCATTCATCCATACACGTGTCGAGGTAAGCAAAACTTCTGACTTAATGTCAAATCCATATTCTTTATATCGTATCACGTCTTAGCCAATAAAAACTTTTTGGAATAAGTGGTCCTCTTTAAACTGTAATTTAATATTTATTGATTTCGTCTAATAATAAATGCTCTTGACCTTTTTTTTTATTTTCCTGGTAAATCTTATAAAGAATTTGGAATATCTTTCTTATTATGTTACGAAATTTATATATATATATATATATATATATATTACAATATAAATTCTGTTATTTCCAAAATAAAATGATTCTTATAAATTTATAAAAGTTTTCAAATAAATTTAATTATAATTTTTGAAGAGCTAAATATAATAATTTAAATAAAATTATTAATTTTATATATTTTTTTTAATAAAACAATTATTTCAAAAATTTTCAAAATTGTTTCAGATGCAACAATGTTACATCGGAAATAGATAATAATCAAAAACAAAAAAGATATATTTATAGAACTTATAGACCGGAAATATATAATAATCCGAATATCTTATACATACACATTTTATTTAGATGTGTTTGATTTGTTTGATTAAAACAAAATACGATAATGATTTTCTCTGTAGAAATATGGGAACATATATTTACATACATAGATCCTGTATCACTTACACATTTGAAAATAATTTGTAAATGTTGGAAGGAAATTATTGATAAAATGTTACAGGTAAATAATATATAATAATATAATATATATAACTTTTATTACAATTTTAATTTATTTATTGAATGTCTAAATGTATATTTGTGTAATACATATATACATTGTTATAAATGTTTAATCTATAATATGTATTAAATATTATATATTATTAAATATTATATATAATTAATTATATAATTATAAATTTATTTAATTTTTTAATTATTCTTCTATATATAGGAAAGTACTTTATGGTATAAATTATGCAAAAATAAAATTCCTGAACATTATTGGACTATTTTATGTGAAACATTAAATCCAAATAAATTTCATACTAATTTTCATGAAAAACATGATGCTAAATTTTGGATGGCTATGTATAAATTGTGGATTAAATGCAAAAATATGATAAAATGTAATACACAAATTACATGCATTGAACCAGACTTAAAAAATCATCCTTTAGAATATATTACTTGTATAGATACATCAGGTAATATGTTGACAATATTAAATTGTTAATTTAATTTTAATTTTAAAATTAAAATCTTATTTTAAAATTTAAATGTTTAATTTTTATAACTAATATCTTTTAGAAAGTTTTTTAGCAGTAGGAACATCTGAAGGATTTATTTATTTTTATAATATTTGCAATTTAAATGCAAATGTAAAGTATATAATTGATCATATGGAGTACATAAAAAGTATACAATTTTGCAGAGATGGTAATTACAAATTTTAAAAAATAAATTTGATAGAAACTTTTAATCAATTACTTATATTTCATAGAAACAAATATCATTTGTATATCTTGTTCTATAAATAATCATGTAAACTTTTGGGATATGAATACATTGAAGATAATTAATAAAACACATGGAAAGTTAATTTGGTATGATTTAAAGGAAAACTATAATTAATTTGGTATGATTTAAAAGAAAACTATAATTAAAATAATTAATTTAATCATTAATGAATAATAAATATTTAATAGCACAAGTTACAGTTATTGCTATACTGCTATGCATAACATAATAAGTATTGAAGGATCAATACCAAAAACAATATTTCAATTTGGTTCAGATAGTATAATTACTATGGGTGCAGATAATAATAAAGTAATAATAATGAAAAAATTATAAAAAAATTATAATTTGTAATTTTATCATTTATATTAAAATGTTACAACTTAGGTACTTTTTTATACGGAAAGAGGATATTATGTAAATTTAAAACTAGATGAAAAAAATCTGGAAAAAAAAAATTATACTCTTACATATATTCAGCCACCAAATATTAAAATTCGTCAATATTATACATTTAAACCAAATATAATTGCCTGTATTACAGGTAAGAAATCAATTATATTAAATAGATATAATTATATAAAATTAATAAAATATTTTAATAATGTAAAAATTATAGAATATGGATATTTGGGTTTTCTAATAGAAGGAAAAGAATGGAAAATTCACAATCTATTTCCTATTTTACATGGTGAACCTACAGCAATTTTAGTATATGGTCATATACTTATTTTAGGATTAAATTCAGGTAATCTTTTCATAAATTTTTAGTAATTTCTTTTATATTTTTTAAATTTTTTTTTAGGAAATGTACATATATATTATATAGACGATTTTGAAGCAATTAATTTTGATATTCTTAATTCAAAAAAGTTGAGTCTTGGTTCCACAGCTGTTATTTCATTAAATATAATGGTCTGCATTGAAGAATATTTAATTATTGGTTATAGCAATAAAATTTATATTGTTAATTTTGTTTGATATATAATTTAATATAAAAATATGAAAAATAATGTAAAATTTTTCGCAAATCAAATTTATTTATAATACGTATTTATAATACATAAAAGTCTAAGTTCTTTATTGAAAAATTGGAAAGTTATTGATTGTATTAATATCTTTAATAAGTATTTTTGTTAAAAAAATTTCTGATACAAAAATATATTTTGATATTAATTTTGATAAAAACATGAATTATGTTTTGTAATTTAGTGCTGTCCCAGTTCCATATATAGCGTCCCATTCAACATAAGTTGTTAGACTTGATTCTGATACACTAGAACGAACATGTATTAAGGCTTCCTTGAAATCATCAATTGTTACCTGCCTGACATCTTCTTTTTTTATATTTTCTAATTGACTAAATGGAATGCTTCTAATTGGTCCCATGCTAGCTTCTTTACATAAATTTGACATATCAGCTCCAGAATATCCTTTTGATTGTTCAGCTATATTATTTATATCTTCTTCATTAAGATTATGTGAAATAGTTATTAATAAATTATTTATAATTTGTTTACGAGCTTGAAATTCTGGTAGAGGAACATAGAGTCTTTTAACGAGTCGTCTACGTGCTGCCTCATCTAATTCATGTGGTCTATTTGTTGCTCCTACAATTAAAATGCGGTCTTCATCAGCAGTAGCAGCTCCATCCAATTGTACTAAGAACTCAGTTTTTAATCTTCTAGAACTTTCGTGTTCGGTTTCAGATCTTTGAGTAAGCAATGAATCTATTTCATCCACAAAAATTACTGATGGCTGATAAACTCTAGCAACAGCAAATAACGCTCTAACCATTTTTTCTCCTTCTCCTATCCATTTTGATGTTAAAGAGCTAGCAGATATTGAAAAAAAAGTTGATTTACTTTGTGATGCTATACATTTTCCTATAAGTGTTTTTCCTGTACCTGGAGGACCAAACAATAAAATTCCCTTTGGAGGCCTTCGTAAACCAGTAAAAATATCAGGTCTTAACATAGGATATACAACTACTTCTTTTATGATTTTTTTGGCATATTCTAAACCAGCTATATCATCCCAACAAATAGTTGTCTTTGAATCCATTATCTCATTCTTTATTAGTTCAACCATTTTTGGTTCTACATTTTTTAACCTTTCATCTTCTACTTCCATTGTGTCAATTTCATTATTGTACATGTTTTCCAGAATTTTTTCTTTTTCTCGCTTAAAAGGACAAACAAATTGAGAATTAACTGATACTTTTCCACCTAAAGTTTTTTTTTGCATTGATTTATTAGTTTTCATTTGCACATTTAGTTCATCTCTAGCCGTTTTGAAAAAGTTTATTTTAGGTTTTGCAATATTAAAATCTTCTTCATTATGTTGAACAGACATTTGTGACTTTGATTTCATATGATTTCTATAAAAATTCAATGATTCATGATTATTTTTATATGTTTTAGATGAATCTTCTTTTTCAAATTTAAAATGTGATTCAGGCTCATACTTAATAGATCTTTGCTGGACATAATTCTGATTTTTTTGATTTATAGAATGAAATTTAGATTGTTTATTAAAACTTATTTGTGCACTAATATTTTCATCTACAGAATTATTGGATGAAAATGAAGACTTCTGTTCTTCAAAATACATATTATTTTCAATTTTTCCCTTAGAATTTGTATTTAAAGATTGACTAAAATTTTGTTTTGTTGGAATACTAACTTTTCTGTTTCGTATTACAATTTCTTTATTTTTCCATGTATTTATAATATTTTCTATATGTCTATTATTAAATAATCTTCCATGACATGACAAAGTATTCTTTGCATTGTCTTGACAAGATAAAGGTCTTATAAAACTTAATGCTGTATCTATATCATACAAACCTGATTTCCATTTTTGAGGATTATTATTGATTTTTGATGTTTGTAATTTAAATTGTTTCCAATAATTATTTATACCATTTTTATTTTCCATTAAATCTTGATAATCTTCTAAGCTTCTTTGAAGTAAACAAGCTGCCATATCTTCTGATTCGCTATAAAATAAATAAAAAATGATTCGTTTATTTATATATATTATATAATATTATATAATATTAATTATAATATATATATAATATATATATATATATTATATATATATTATTATTATATATTATTTAAATCTTTAAGAAATAATTTATCTATTTATTTGTTTAAATAATATCTTTTATAAATTATTTATACTCATGAAAAATTTTATAGAACTTACTATTGTCTTGCTGTTAAATATTTCATAGCAAAACATCTTCTTTCTATGTCTACAATTTCCGTATCATCTTTATTATTTTTTGAAAATTTTAAAATATGATACGCAGCTAAGAAATTATTCTTTTCCTTATTCATTTCTACATCATTTGTAGCCATATTTACACTTGAAAATTATTATAATTTATATTAATATAATTTTTAATTAATTTTATTTAATTTTTTATCATATTTACAATATAAACACATATTCCCATTTATTACTTTTCCCGCTTGTAATGTGATAGTACACATAAGATACATGTGTATGTGTATATAAACAAGAAAAACGAATAAAGTTAAAGATAAAATAAAAATTGGCGAATCAGCGCCATCTCTAGAATGTTGCAAATAAAAATAATATAGAAGAAAAGCAAATAATAAGAGAAAGATAGAGATAGAATAAGAAAATAGCGTCATTTCTTAAATGTCAATTTCTTCAAAAATATCTCAAAAGATGGCACTAATGATCAATTCTTTATTTCTGTTTTCTTTTTATTATTTGCTTTTCTTGTTTATATTAATTTCATTTGAGAGATGGCGCTGATTTGTTGTCTTTGTTCTTGATTTACAACTTTAAATAACTTACACGATGTACGTTCAATTGAACTTTCATCATTTCTTTTTCAAAATTATAAAATACACTTTGATCATTAATGTAAAAAGAATAGAGATTACATTTTCCTGTATTACAATTTATTTCTAGGACTTATCTTAACGATTTTGTAAAATATAATATATATGATATAATATAATATAATATACGCAAAATATCATTTAATGACAGTGATAAAATTTAAATTCTACAACAAAATATTTATTTTATTTTTTTATTTGCAATTTTATTTGAAGTTTCTAGTTCCAGTTTTAATCATTAATAATGTAATCTTATTTTGCATCAGTAACATTGATAATTACTAAAAATTAATAATTACTAAAAATATCTTAATATCCTCTCTTACAGGATAAAAAATATATTGAATGTTAAATCTATTTTATACTTCATCTGTGATTATAATTTTACTTAACATCCGTAGATAATATAGATAAATATTCCATTTTCGGTTGTCATATAGCATTAGTAGTATATATGTCAGATATCACTTTGCAATAAGTTTTCATATTCACATGTTAAAAAATAATTTCTTATAAGAATACCTATTAATAATAATAATAATCCGATCGCAGTAAATTAACACGTTTAATTCGATTAGTATATTTCAAACAAAAAATACATACATATGTTAAGTGAAACTGTCATCTCAAAATTGTAAACAGAACGAGATTACAATATATGATTATTCGACACTTAAAATGTCTGTAACTGAAGAAAGAATTCAAGAATTAAATAGACGATTTTTAGAATTTATGAGTAAAAGTGAGAATGTGGAATCAGCAACCAAAGAAATTTATGATGATCTTCTTGATGAGGTATTAATGGGATTTGTTTTCGATGTACATCGAACTACAAAAACTGGTAGTTCTGATGTAGAAGAAGGTATACCTGATGACGAATCGTATGCTATTGTAGGTAAGTGAAATAATAAAAAGATATTAAAAATTTTAATAATTATAATTTCTTAAATCAGGTTATGTTTATTTATTAAATAAAATATTTCTGTTATAAAAATTAATTATTATTTTTACATAATTTTTATTTAATTTAATATTTTTTTTGAAGATTCTCCAGGGTTGGATGTCTTTGGTCAACATCCTGTTAAAAAATCCCAGGAATGTAATTGTCCAAATTGTGATAGAGGAGTTGCAGCCTGTCGTTTTGCAACTCATTTAGAAAAATGTATGGGTATGGGACGAAATAGTTCGCGAATTGCATCAAGACGTATAGCAAATAATTCAAAAGATCTCAGTAATTTCAGTGGTGTTATAAGTGATGATGATGATGATGTTGATTGGAGTTTAAATAATGATAAGCGTAAACGCAGAAAAGACCGTAATGGTATTAAAAGAACAAAGCAACAAAAAAATAGCCAAAGAAATGGTGAAACTATAAATGAACATGTTCATAGTAGTAATGAAAATTCCCCATCAAATTATGAAAATATGTCCTTGGAAGATAAAAGGATTCTATTGACTCAAATTTGTGGAGTAATATCAGAGCATACAAAAAAATTATGTACACGATCTATGCGATGTCCACAACACACAGAAGATCAAAGAAAAGAAATGAGAGCAAATTTAGAATCTGGAAATAACATACAACCTAGTCAAGATAATCTTCATGTTGATGTAGATACTTATGAAGAAGGAGATGGGCAAAACTTAAGAGAAGCATTAGCGCGTTGGGATCGCGAAGAATCAAGTCATTCGAGTCCAGCAGATTCTACATCTACTACATCAACATCTTCAATAAGTAGAAAACGAGAAACAAAATCGAAAGGCAAAGGCAAAGGTTCCAAACGTGATCGTGGATCACCTATTTCACAAGGAGATTAAAATAGTTTGTTTAATTTATTTTTTAATTCTAAGAATTTTCTAACAAGAAAATTTATGTAATAATAATGTTCCTATGCATTGTATAAAGCTTCAAGAATATATTATCCCAAACAAAACATAAATTAAAAAAAAAACTTTTTTAATTTTGTTTTATGTTCAATAGATTTCAAGATACTTGTAATTTAAATACGCATAAAAATTATTGTACATATATTATTATACAGTATATATATATAACCAATGAGTGTTTCGTTGCTTTAATGTTGAGAGGCGCTGCATTCTACAAATATCGGAACGTTAATTCATTTATATATATGATTCATGGTTATATACATGGTTATATACATGGTTATATATATATATGCCGCCATTTTCTATTAAATATTATTTGACGCGAAGTTATCGTATGTGTAAGATTAAAATAATAAATAATTTTAAATTACATTATTAAATAAAGATGTTAAATGTACAAATAAGTACTGCTTCTGGGGTGAAACAAATTCTTACTGTCGAAACTCCATTTAAAATTCAAGAATTATATGATTACATTGAAGGATTAACGGTATGCGATCATTTAACCTAATTATATTTAATATAATTTCTTTAATAAAGAAAAAATTCTTTAATGATAGTTTACATAAAACTTATTGCAGGAAAACTTTTACATTATATATAATGGAAAGCTCATTCATGAAAATGCCATTTGCTATAATGGTTATATTTCTATTGTACCACGATTATTTGGTGGAAAAGGAGGATTTGGTTCTATGTTACGAGCAATTGGTGCACAGATTGAAAAAACTACAAATCGTGAAGCTTGTAGAGATTTAAGTGGACGTAGACTTCGCGATATTAATGAAGAAAAAAGGTTAAAAGCTTGGATCGAAAAACAAGGAAAACGAGAAGAGGAAGCCGCAGAACGTAAAAAGAAAAAATTGGAAAGATTATGTGCTGAACCTAGACATGAATTTAAAGATCAAACCTACGAACGTGAAAGGTCAGTTCTTACAGAAAGAGTTGGAGATGCAGTTGAAGAAGGCTTTAAAGCTTCTACTTCTGGAATAAAAAGAAAATATGATGAAGAATTTAAACCAAATAAAAAGAAAATTTTATTAGATATAGATATTGATTCAGATGAATTAGATAGTTCTGATGAAAGTGATGAAGATGAAAAAATATCTATTGGAATAATTAAAAATGCAGAATTGTTATCAAACGATAGTGGACATTCAAGTGATGAAAATGGACAAATTACAAAAGATAAAAATGAAATAAAAACGGGACATTTAGAAAATTTTGACAATGAAAGTGATAATAAAATTTTAAGTATAGCTGAAGATAAAAAAAATGTTTAAAGAAATTAAAATCTTAATCTTTTAAATGTTATTTTACCAATAAATGCCTTAAAGTATTTATAATATATATATATATATGATATTTCATATTATAATAAAATTATTTAATATTTAATAATTAAAAATAGTCTAATAAAATAATTGCATAATTATAATTTATATGTTATTAAATTAAATATTAATTTTAGAGAGAATAGATAAATTATACTAGTTCATATATTTTAAATGCTACATTGTACAAATTAAATTTAATGTTAAAAACGAATAAATATATAAAATGATTTTGTTGCATTATTTAAAATTTTTTCCAAACTTAAAATATTACATTTTAAATTATTCTCCAGGCAACTAATTCATTAGTAAGTTTTATACCCACTGCAAATAAAGCTACAGATATAACAAATGATTTTAAGAAATTATTTACAAATAATTCCTCATTTTTATATTGAAGTAGCCATTTATAAAGATTTTTTCTATATTCAGAGTTAATTAAATTATTATTTTGATTATATTTATTTTCAATTTGCATATGTATTGTCTGTATCAAAGCACCGAGACAAATATAGTAATAAGTTTTTTTGTGCGGAATATGCTGAAAATAATTATTAAATATATATTGTATATTTACTTATTTAAAAGATATTTAAAAAAAAAAGAAATTAGATAAAAATAAATCTTACATTTTTCCGAATTTTCTTTTGTTTAATAGAGTTGCATAATATAGGTAAAGACGGTTCACAAATATTATGTTTCATAGTCATTTTCAATTTTTATTTTAAAATTTTCATACATTTTATTACATTACGATGTAAAACTCAAAATTATTATAAAACAAAAACCAAAAAGAATATCAAGATGTTCTTTTGTTTAATATAAAATTCTTCGTTAAATGAAAGAAACATAAAATATGTTTCAAATATTATTTAAAACTTATTATTTTTTTTTTTCATTTCTTCATTAATGATAAATATTATTGATATAATAATATTCGTAATACGATTATAAATAAAATATATACAACTATACAAACACAGCAAAATATAATGATTTGTATGTTTCTAAAAATATATTAATTTTCTTCTATCTTTATTATATATCATATATTATTTATATATATTTATTTAAAATATTAAATATGTAATCATTTTTTTGTGCGTATTTAATATTTTTTTAACATTAATATTGTAGAATTTTCCATAATATAAATTGTCTATCTTATAATATAAATTTTTACATTATAAATATATTTATTATACATTTTATATTTTTGAAAATATATAAAATATAGTTTTAATAATTTGATTGAATCAATTTAAAATACGTATAGACAAATATTTCTAATCTTAAAATTTGAAAAAAAATACTAAATATAATATACGAGAAAAGAAGGAAATTAATAAGGAAAATCTCAAGATAATTAATTAAAAAAATTCAATAAAGATGTAAATAGTGGGAGAACCAGTCGACCTTTGTTTCGATAGCTTCATCAACAATCTATTCTTTAGTCGGTATCCTAATGTCGAACATAATGAACGTTATAAAATATATGTGAAATTCATATTGAACTCTCAATAATTAAATAATAAAAGTGAAATTCATTATTTTATCTTTTTTCACAAAATTTTTTTTCACGATAATATCGAAAATGATTAAATTATTTCTTTTAACTATTTTTCAAGCGATGATACTAAGTTATGCAGTCGCTCGTAAGTTATTAACTTTATCTTTTCAATTAATTTTTTAATTATTCAAATAATTTTCTTTTCTTAATTAAAATTATATTTTCGTTAAATAATTTTGTCATTATCATATATTTGAATAAATTTAAAAAAAAAATGATAATGTCAAACTATACAACAATTTGTAACAAGATTATTATAGAATGTATATATTTATAATTAATTGATATATTTCCTTTGAATAGCATGAAATTAAAAAATTATGAAATGCTGTCATTGGAATCTTAATATGTTATATGTAAATATAACGGATTGAATATACAGAATTTATATTGAATTTACATACAGAATTTATTATTAAAAATTTATATTTTTTAAAATCAAAATATATATCTTATATATTTGTTTATAATTAATTATGTTATTTTTTTCATTTTTGCAACTTTCTTTTTTTTTAGAAAATCAAGAACAATCAACTTGTACGTCAATTAATGGCAGAATCGGTAGATGCATCATAATACGTCAGTGTCCAGAATTATTGAACATACTTCAAACACGTCCCCTTAAATCAGAAACTATAGATTTACTAAGGCAATTGCAATGCGGTTTTAATGGTAATAATCCCAAAGTTTGTTGTCCGATTCAAAATACAAATATCGATACAACGTATCGAGACAATAATGAAAATGATATAAAATCGAATCAAAACTCTAAAGAGCAAAACGAGCAAAATACCGATAAAAATATCGACGATGAGAATTTACACTATGATCTTTCCAACAATTCTTTGATTCCAACCGATTGTGGAAGTGATTTGTCTCAAAGAATTATAGGAGGAGAAATTACAGAGCTCGATGAATTCCCTTGGATGGTACTTCTGGAACACGCCAAACGTAAATCTTTTTTTTTTCTCTCTCTAAAAAAATATAAAATATTCATCATTTAAAAAATTTACAATAAAAAGTAATATTAACATTTAAAATCTTAACACTTTTCAGCGAATGGAAAAGTTACAATTTGTGGTGGAGTTCTTATCAGTCGACGTTACGTTTTAACGGCAGCGCATTGCATTAAGGGAAAAGATTTACCAATTACATGGCGTCTAGAAAGCGTTCGTCTAGGCGAATATAACACCGATACAAATCCTGACTGTGTTCAGGACGATGAAAATACCTTAATTTGCGCGGACGAACCTATATCGGTTGGGGTCGAAGAACAAATGGCACACGAAAATTATCGACCACGTTCGAGAGATCAGAAATATGATATCGCACTTCTAAGATTATCCCGCGACGTTACATTCACCAATTACATAAAACCTATTTGTTTACCATCCACTTCTTCTCTTGGACAAAAACTGTTCGTTGCCGGATGGGGAAAGACGGAAAACGGTTCATCATCAAACGTGAAGTTAAAAGTTTCTTTGCCTTTTGTCGATAAACAACAATGTCAATCGACTTACGATAATGTGCAAGTATCGCTCGGTTATGGACAGATTTGTGTCGGGGGACAAAAAGGTAAAGACTCGTGTAGAGGAGATTCGGGCGGGCCTTTAATGACCGTGGAGAGAGAACGGAATGGTAATGGAAGATGGATTGTCGCCGGTGTTGTTTCCTTCGGACCATTGCCTTGCGGTATGTTTGGATGGCCTGGCGTTTATACAAGAACAATTGATTTCGTACCTTGGATACTCAGTAAAATGAGACCTTGATCTTTTGTATTTAAATTTCTTCTAATCTTCCCATTTATTTTCTGTACCTGCTCAAAACAAATGAAAGAATAAATTTTCCCATATTCTTTTTTTCTAATGTTTTATGAATAGTTATGATGATTTATGTATTGATGATTTATTAATGACTTTATCATTTTTATGATTTTTAAAGGTTATCGATTATACAGGTCATAGAAAACATCACGTAAAATACGCGTGATGCAATTATTTTTACGTTATATATGTTTGCAAATAAAAATCTTTCATTATTTAAAATTAATTCATTTTCGAAATTGATTCTGCGGAAATCAATTTCTGAAGAAATTACCCGTTTACAGCGAAATTGACGTAAATCTATGTTTCATGTTGAAATTGGAAATTCCATTAAAAAAATTAAAAAAATTATTTTAATTAAATTTCAATTTATAAGAAAAAAATGACAAGATTTGTTTAGAATTAGAGATAAATATTTTATAAATGTAAAAAATAATATAAAATACGTAAATAGTATATATATAAAATAGTAAGAGAATATTTAGTTTGACGCTTTTCTCGGTTATCGAATAAATTATATATCTTTTATTTTTGCAGTGTTTTAACAACTTGTCTATTTAAAAAAAAATGAATCGGTTTTAAAACAAAACAAGCATCGTTCCGATATAACGAATCATATTAATTGAGAATTTTCCTCGTAACCCCTTCTCTCTCTTCTTTTTTCAATTGAAGGTTAGTAGACTCGCTCGGTAGATCATAGCAGTTAGTTGAGCGAAGACTCTCACACGAGTCTGTACTCTCGAAAGTAACAAGTAAACAATTTTGCAAAACCAGTTTTTCTATTTCATCGTTGATTTAAAAAAAAAAAAATTATATGTAATCTTGTTATTTGAATTATCATAATTTTTCTTCCGACAAAAGAAGTCAATTCAAGATAAAGAAAGAAATTGTAAATTTGTGAATATCCTTAAAGAATACGAAGAATACGATATCGTCTTTCAAAATTATTTCAAGAGAGAGAAAAAAAAACAATAACTTCGAAATCGATATGATTAATCACTTATGTTTAATCATGTTTATAATCTTATGCGGGGTTGGTGCACGTAAGTAAAATTTCGTTAATAATATAACAATAATTTTCTTCGTTTGATTATTAATTATTATCGGATAAAAATTGACCATTAATATTAGAAATTGTCATTGGATTAAAATTTTCTATCTATATGAATAATCCAATGTTATTTTCTTGTTCCTTAATATCGTTCTTATTTATTGTTTTATTTTTATTAGTATTTCTTGCTATTTGTCATATGAGCGGAAGGAATAACAAACTTAATTCAATAAAATCGTGTAACATTATCCGAACAATACAAATTTATCACTAAGAAAATTATTATTTTTCCTTTTTGTCAAGTAAAAAAATAATATCAACAAACAAAGTTATTGCAGAAAGGAAAATAATTGGTATAGCATTGTTGTAAAAAAAAAAAAAAGAAAAAAAAGGAAAAAAAAATTTTGTTCAATTGATGGATATCAATTTTCTAATGTGCGTAGTATATACGTTATAAGTTATTATTTCATTCTTGATTGTGATTAGTATTTTATACAATAACTGAATACGCTTACGAGAGACACTTCTATACTGAATACTAACTATACTGATACGTGACATTTCTCCTTTCGTAGTATCAATAAGAGATCTACTTCGAACTTATTGTTAGTTCGAGATAATCCGAGTAATCCACTTCCGTAAACGAAGGATTCTTTTTATAGAAGATAGATGTACCACACCACAGAAAAAAATTGGTGTTTGCATCGATATACGTGATTGTCAACCACTGGTAAAAATTCTTAAACAAAGACCAGTATCAGTAGAATCTATTAATTATTTGATCAGCTTTCATTGTGGATTCAATGGCAATTATTCAAAAGTATGTTGTGAAGCACAGGTAAACATTTTTTTATAATTATTACATTCAACTTTAATCAGATAGAAGGAAATGTATAACAACAGAATATAATTAACTTAGAATCCAGTAATAGATGAATCAAAGTCATCTGCAATTTCTGAACCTCCGAATGTCACGAATCATCCGAATTTATCATTACTGAATCATGATATATGCGGCCCAATAACGGAGCAAAAAATTTTCGGTGGTAATACAACCGGGATATTTGACTATCCATGGATGGCGTTACTCTTTTACGACACAGGAAATTTAATTCCGGAATTTCGATGCGGGGGATCACTGATTAATAAACGATACGTACTCACTGCTGCTCATTGTGTTACATCGTTACCATCTGGTAAGTGTGACTATAACATGAACTGATTTATTTTTTCTTTAATCCGTAATATAATGTGATATTCGTGTTGATCGAATATTTTAGAACTCAGATTAATCGGAGTACGATTAGGAGAGCATAATTTTAGAACTGAACGCGATTGTGAGAAAGAAGCGGACGAACTTGAAGTTGTTTGTGCTGAGAAATATCAAGATTTCGATATAGAGAAGACTCATTTTCATCCAGAATTTTCACGAGGAAAATTACAGAATGACATTGCTCTGGTACGATTGAACAACGACGCTGATTTTAGACCGCAAAATGTTCGACCGATTTGCATGCCAATCGGATCAGCCGCCATCTTATCTCAAAAAAAAGTAAATATGATAATCAAATATGAACATGTTCTCGAGTTATTTAATTATTTTCATCATAAAATCAATTGATTTTTATGTTTAGGTAACAGTAACAGGTTGGGGTACAACTGAACTTGGATTACGTAGTCAAGAATTGTTACAAGTTCATTTGTCGCTAGTAAATATAGAGAAATGTGCACAAGTATATAAAGAAAGAAAAACACAAATTTGGTATAAACAAATATGCGCAGGTGGGAAAAATGGTATGGATTCTTGTTCGGGAGATAGTGGTGGACCACTTCAAGCCCCAGGAATGTATAATAATAATCTAAAATACATTCAATACGGACTTGTTAGTTTTGGACCCACTAAGTGCGGTCTAGAAGGAGTACCTGCAGTTTATACTAATCTTGTGTATTACATGGATTGGATTTTAAATACTATTAGCGCATAAAAAAAGAATGCTATTAATTTAATTTTTTAATTATGTAATTATTGTTGATATTGTTAATATATTATTTTTTTTAATTGTTAATTATTGTTAATTGTTATTTCAAAGATATCTAAAACATAAATCCAAATATCCTAAAGTTCCTAAAATGAAAAAAGTTGAACATTTTCAGTTATTTTTGACTAATAACAATCATCGCTATCATGAAATATGAATATTCCAGTCTTGAGTCTTCGAAAATTTGAATATATCAATTAATAATATACTAGATTCTTAGAATTAAAAATTTATAGATTCTTAGAAGTAAGGATGTAAGATATTTTAAAGATATTTTGACAATTAATTTAATATTATTAATATTAAAGCTCTTTATTTATAAATTGTTTGCTATAAATATTATATTATGATCATATATGATTTATAAATATATTAATTACTTAATCACATTGTATAATTAATATTTATATATTTTAATTTTGCTAACATTAAAATAAAATCTTATGAATTATATATTTATTTAAACACACACACACACACAAAAAGCTAAAAGCTATTAATATTATTAATTTAAAGTTTTCTGGCTATCTTTTCTCTATCTTTTTACAATAAATTGCGATTAGTAAATGTTAATTAAATAATTATTTATTGAACATTAGTAATTATCTCTGTATTTTGGTTATTATGTATACTCTGTATTAATGTATTTTTATTGCAATCATCATTAGAGATTAAATATTCATTATTGCATAATTTTTTGTTTTCATTTTGATCTTCAATAAGCTCTGCAGTTTCTTTTATTGAAACTTTTAACTGGTTGCGATTAGTTTTCTTTTTTGAAAGTAAAGTTTGAGATTTAATTATCGATTTTTCAGAAATTTGTGATATAGATGTATTTGATGAATTTAAAGATTGATTTGATAAGAGACTACCCGAAGAACTAGTTAGGGATTCAGAATCTGATTTAGAAATATTTTCGTAATTTATATATGAATTCATGATACTCAATTCTTTCTTTTTTCTTCTTTGTTGTAACATTTTTGAATTATTAACATTCTGTTGTGTCTGAGTCAATGATTGATAACTCTATAAAAAAAATATTCTTATATAAACAATAATTTCCTTTGTTTTTATTATTCCTTTGTTATTATTATTGATCTTTATTGTTTTATTTATTTTATAGTTTCAAAGAAATCAATTTTATTCACCTGAGAATGACGTTCGAAAAGAGTTGGTATTTGTGTTACACGATCCAACATCATTTCCATTTGTAATCGATGACGTTCTGCCTGTTCACGTGCTTCATCACGACGAAGCAAAGTTCGAATGTTAAGATCTCTTTCGTGTTCGTGCCTTACAATTGAAAATTTATATATAAATATATATAATCATATATACAATATTAATATTTTTTATTTTTTTATTATTATATAACATACTATTGAAAAAATTTTGCAAGTACGATCTAATTTTTTAAAAATCGCACCTCACTGCAGATCTCAAAGCGCGCCATACTGGATTACGTCCAATCAAAGATTGTTTAATTTTTATAGCTTGTTCTCGATGCTTCTCTTCCATTTTTTCTCTTATTTCACGTTCTAATTTTTCTCTGTAAACATAAATATTTTGTAAATAAAAGAGTGTAAATTTCTTTCATTACAATTTTAAAAATAAACGTTTATTGAAATTTTGTATAATTTTACAATACCGTGACACTTGACATCTTAAAATTGCTGCTAAATTATTTCCTCGTATAGGCAAAAGTGGCATCACAGATTTACATCTTTTTAATGACATTGAATTATTATTTGACATTTGCGAAACATTTTTATTTTCAATATTTTTGTTACAATCTTTAAATGTACTTTGTAAACGTGTGCACGCAGATTTGATTCGTTCTCGTCTCGCCATCGACGGAGGCAAAGATGATGATTTCATTAATTGCGCAGCTCTTAATCGTTTTTGTAATTGTCTGAAAATTGTAACGCATTATACAGTCGATTCATAAAATAATAAATTTATAAATTATTATATTTACCTGTCATATTCATCTTCAAGCATGCGATCATATATTTCTGTACTGAAAAGATTTTTTGGTACTGGTTTAGCTTTAAATTTTGTACTCACATTAACATTTTTACTATAAATTTCTGGGCTAGATCTTGCTAAAAACCTCCAAGCTCGACGATCGCATTCGAGTTTAAAAGGACGTACTTGAGACATTAAATTTAAGGCACTTTCTTCACGAATTATACGACTTCTAAAAGATAAATATTTATAATAATTGTAAATTTATTATTATATACAAATAAAATTATTATATACAATACAAATAAAGATTAAAGTGTGAAAAATATAAACATAAGATATATATAAAAGCAAACCGTTCTTTCTTCTCAGCCAATAATTTATCATAAAGTGGAATTTTTGATGTAAGTGGAATCGATCTTACACGTCGTTTTCTACATACATTTTTTTTATTATTTCTCATATTTTTATATTTTTGTTCTTCTATTTTAATATGTTTCATGTGCTTTTCTGCTTCCTCCCTAAAATATATAATATATTATTATTTTATATCCAATATAAATAAATCAATTAATTTGTTATTAGAAAATAAAAAGATATAATTTATTACCTTAAAGTAAAATTAAATGGCTTAGGTACAGTAGGATGCCATTCTTTTGTAATATTGGCTGGTAAGCTCCTTGTTTCTGCATTATCTATATCACTTTCAATATTATCATTGGTATTTATCTTATTGCATGTACTCCAATTTTTATTATTCAAATATATTTTCTCCTTACATTCAGTTCCATTTTCCTTATCTCTTCTACTACATTTAAAAATGGTAACACAATTGCAGCCATAATTAGATAAAAGAAATTCACTTCTACCTAATCATATATACCTATTTGTTAAGAAATCCTGATCTTCTGACATTTCATTTTCATTAAGTTTACTAGAAAGAAAAAGTAATGGACTGGGACTAGAAGATTCTTCTAAATAACACTTTTTACCATTCAATATTAAATCATTAATATCATTTTTATTTTTGAACTTTAATTTTTGATTAGATACTGAAAATTTAGATTCATTTATATTTTTATGATCAATCAGAGAATTTTGTAAATTTTTTAATAATAATTTTTGTTTCCTTTTTAAATAATCTACTTTTTGTTTAAACTGCTCATTTGATAAATGATGAACTTGACCATAATCTGGTATACTATCCAGAAATTCTAAAAAAATATCCATATCTTCTGTAGAATTTGATATCTTACATTCAGTAACAAAGTGATCATTTTTTATAAAATTCATGTTATATCTATTATAAAAATCATTATCTTCTTTATTCTTTTTAGATTCAAGACGTTCATAAGAAGGAATTGGTTGCCTATTACAAGGATTTACAGGAACTTTCACACAAGAATTATAAAAAGATGTACCTTTATGTTCTGTCATTGCCTATTATAATAAATAAATTTTTATTATTATATATTTTCAATGAAAATCTGAAAATTTAATTTTTTTTTTTTTAAACATTTTGTACAAAAAATATTTCAAGTTTATAATAATTTAAGTTTAATAATAATTATAATTAAGTCGAAGAAAAACTTGTATTTTACATCAATATTTAAGTAAAATATATCAATATATGTTTATAATATGTTATAAGATAAAATAGTTAAAATATTTGTTTGTACAAAATTAAATTATTATATTTTTCGTATAAGCAAATATCAATACTCACCTATAAATTTTACGATGAAATTTACAATATATTAAAAGATAGATATAAAAATCAGAAATAAAAAATAATAATTTGTAATAAAAAATTATTAATTTATTTTTATTATATAAGATTTGTCATATATACATTTTTTAAAACTTAAATTCGATTCTTTATTTTACACTATCCTAATAACTACAAATAAACATCTTTTAGAGAAGATCAATATAACCTTGCTATATTCGTCACCATGGTGAATAAAATAAAGTATTAATATAAGTTTTTTATAATAATTAAAAAATAAAATTAGGAATATAAATTAAATTAAATTAAATTAGGAATATAAATTAGGAATATAAATTTTATAAAAATTAAAAAATATTTAAATAATTTATTTTATTTATAATTCGATTTCAATGAATTTATTTAAATATATTTAAATGTATACATTTAAAATATTTTATAGCATTAAAAACAATTATTATTATGTAAATTTGATTGCAAATATTAAATGAGTTAATTTTAATAAAAAATAAATAAATAAATTTATGTATGTATTACTATAATTATAAAAAAAACTTAAACTTATAGATGTATTTCCATAGAATATTACAAAATTAACAAATACTATTAAATAATCATGAAATACAATTTAGATGAAATGCAAACGACCAATAAGAATTCTTAGAAGTTTGAAAAATATTTATTTACTATTACTATTTACTATTTTTCATAGAGTGTAAATCATATTTATTAATCAGAAATAATTCTATATTTCCGCTACTAAATCGCATAATTAGTAATAGTAATTTTAAAATAAAACTTTTAAATAAAAAAAATTTTAAATAATTTAATTAAATTATTTGAATAAGTAAATTAATCTTGTATTATTAAGATTAAAAGAGGCATCGTCCATTATATTTAGCATAATTTTAATATAATTTCTTTTAAAATAATTTCAGTTTGTATACCATAAATGTATATAAATATTTAGGTATAAATTGTATTGAATATAATAGAAAACAAAAATGGCGATTTTCGGAAAAGCAATGATATTTTGTGATGTATTAGCATTAACTTTAAAAAGATGTAAATATATTATTTCTAATGGATCAATGCTTACAGCAAAACCTTTTTCTATCTCTACACAAAATCATGAAAATTATGATATTATTATTACTGGAGGTGGTATGGTTGGATCTACATTGGCATGTGCAATAGGTTAGTCTTTTTCTTTTATTTAAAAATTATATGTAAATTACATTTTAATTATATGTATTTTTTTATATTTTGTAATAGCAAATAATAGAAAACTTGAATGTAAAAAGATTCTCTTATTAGAAAGTAATAAACAACATGAATATAAATCACAAGAAAAATATTCCAATCGTGTAGTTGCTTTAAATAAACAAACACGTTGCTTACTTTCAAGTATAGGAGCTTGGGAACATATTGAAGCAAAACGTTATTCTACAGTACGAAAAATGCAGGTATTAAAATAATGAAAATAATGATAGATGATGAATAATGAAAATATTTTGAAAGATATATTTTAATAATATTTAATTTATTATATTTTTTGTAATAATACAAATATTACAATTAAATATGAAATTTATAGTAGGTTTGGGATGCATGTTCTGATGCTATGATTGTATTTAATGAAGATTATTTGACTGAAGAAATTGCTTATATAGTTGAAAATGATTTATTATTACATGCTGTAAATAAACAATTGGCAGACAAAGAAAATGTAAATATAATTTATAATTCCAAAGTTGAAAATATTAAATTACCTAAAACACAAGAAGAAAATGCAGTAATACAATTACAAGATGGAACGAAATATAAAAGTAAATTATTAGTAAGTAAAAAATATAATAATAAATGAATATTTTAAATATTATTTACTATGTACTAGAATTATTACAATCTCTAACAATGCTTTCAACTTTGCTAATTAATTTATCTAAATGTGTACTAATATTGTAAAAACATCTTTGTAATTCATCTATTATTTCATTTAATTGTTGTTGATTGTTGTCACTAGAGGTTGTACTATAAAGTCGGTTTAATTTAGGAATATCCATTTCTATATTATATGTATTATATATAGGCATTTTTTTTTTCATATTTCGATTTTTTTTTTCAATTACTAAACGATAGATAGCTTTCATTAATTCTCGTGGTAAACGTTTTTCTCGTGGATCATTAGGACGGATATGAATTGTACAGTAATGTGGTGGATGTAACAAAAGTGCACCTTGTCTGCATGCTTTCATTATTGTATTTGGTGCATAATCTAACAATTTAGAAAATAACATATGTTCCAAATGTGCTACTAATTCTGCTCTACGTACTAATCTATCTAATCCAGCACATCTTCTCAATTCTTGTATATCTGATACTGCAAGACCCATCATCAAATTTGCTAAAATTACTGTTACTAAAATGACAAAACTTAAGAACATTAAGTGTGCAGTGCCAGAGTATAAAATTGGTGATTTTGAACTAAAAAATATATCCTCAAATTCTAATTCTCCAGACATCATTACAATAGTTTTTAACAGAGCAATTAATGGATTGTTAAATGAATCATAATTTTTATGTAATACACTGAAACCTAAGGAAAATCCTATTATAAGACATATATAAGCACCTAGGAATTTGAAAAAATTAATTGATACTTGAGTAAACATTTGTATATAAAGGCCAAAAATTGGAAATCTTCCAATCACTGTCATTAATTCTATCCAAATTAATAAAATATCCAAAGCAGCTACATGATATTGCCACTCATGTATTGGAATAATTAATACAATACTTGATAATAATACAACACTCCATTGAAGCCAATTTTCCCATCTTTTAATATAACTGTATATACCATGAATCATTTGAAAAAATTCTTTACTAGCTAATGTCACAGTAAATATTAATACTAGCCAAAAAAATAATTTTCTAAATTTTTCAGTATTTTCAATATTACTCAAGTATGTAATTGCTATATATGCAGTAAGAAAAGCGACAAATATGGAGTGAAATATTAAATTTAATAAAAAAAATTTACGGATTCTTAACCATTTTAAATAAAGAAAGCTTTCGCATAAAGGATGTTTTAATACATGTCTCTGTCCAACTTCCACAAGACACAGCATCAAATCAGTTTCTCCTCTACCACCTGATATCAATGGTCTAAAATCTAATTTCAATTCACAATCAACATCACCTAATTCATGATCATGTAAAGAAATTGCTTGATCTAAGCGAGAAATAAATCGAGGCAATACATCTGGTGTTCTACGTACAATAAAACTTAATGCAGATATACCACCTTTTGTTCTAGCAGTAACATCTGCTCCTTTTGACAATAACATTATTACTATTGATGAACTTTCATTTAATGCCGCAATGTGTAAAGGTGTGTAACCAAATTTATCTGCTTTATTGATTAAAGCACCAGCCTGTTAAAATAAAAAGATTTATAAATTTACACATAAAATAATTTTATATCATCTTTTTAAATAATAAATAAACCTGGAGTAATATTTTCACTAAATCTATTCCTCTAGTAGTTTTTGCAACTGCAGCATGTAATGGAGTACGATCATCATTATCTTCAATATTGACATTAGCACCAATATTTATAAGTATTTCTAAAGTTTCCATGGATTGAGATAAAACTGCTAAGTGCATTGGTGTTTGTCCTCTTGCATTTTTTGCTTCACATATTGCACCAGCATCTAATAACAACTTTGTACATTCAACACTACCTTCTTCAGCTGCTAGATGTAATGGAGTGGACCTCATAGAACCAAATTGAACTCTTACATCTGCTCCATAATTTAATAATAATTTTGTGCATACAATAGAACCTAAACCAGCTGCTACATGCAATGGCGTTTCTGTATAAACCTATTTAATTATCAAATTGAAAAATATCAAAATGAAAAATATAATAATTAAAAATATTATAATATTTATAAATATAAACCTGTGGATTATTAGGAGAGGCACCTGCTTCTAATAAAGCTTTGACACAATCTACTGCATTACTTAAAACAGCATAATAAAGAGGAGTTTTTCCATACATTCCAGCATTTACATCTGCTCCTGATTTTATTAAACATTTAACACAAGCAAGATCTCCAGTAGCTGCAGCACAATGTAAAGGTGTATACTTTTTACTAAAATCCCATTCACATGGATTTGCTCCATATTGTAATAATTTTTCTAAAATCGTTAATGAAGCTGTACATGCAGCCAAATGTAATGGTGTCCTATAAAATTAATGAATTGTTAGTTTAAAATTAAATTTTTTTTATTATCTATCATACCTGCCATCACTATCTCTAACTGAAACTTTTGCATTTTTAGTCAATAAAGCTTTGACTATATCTATATGACCTAAATAACAAGAAACTAAAAGACAAGTGCTTGGCCATCTTAAAAAAAGTTCTGGAACAGTTGTATTTATAGCTGCTTCATTTTCAATATCTAATAAATTATTTTGTATGCGTCTATATTAAATACAATACATAAGAAAATTGAATTATATTTAGTATAATTTTTATGATTATGAATAAATAATTACTTTACTTACTTATTTATAAATAAAGATATGGTAGTTTTGTGAATATCTTCTGTGATGTTTTTATAATCAGTGTTCAAATATTCATCTAAAACTTTATTCAAACTATCTCCATGAAGAGTAGAAATAACAGAAAGTGCTTGCTTTCCTGCTGGAAGATTAGATAGAGCCAAAATAATTTCTTCTATATTCCATGGTTGTTGATTTATTATTTGTCTTTCTTTTATATCACATATAACAGGTTCAGAACTATATTCGGAACTTATACTGCTTTTTTCCATATCATTCATCCAAATATCTTCACAATTTTTCTAAAATTATTGATAATTAACAAATAATATTTAAATTTGTTTATTCACTTACTGTATAATTAGCAATAGAAGGTGATGGAATAACATTTGATTCTTCTTGAGAATTACGATTATTCAGAAATCTATTTAGAAGTGGTTTCTTTTTTAAGATTGACATGCTATCTTGATTTTTTTTTTATTTAATAATTTAATATAAGATTAATAATTAATAATTTAATAAAATAATTTTATTTATAATAATTTTTAATATAAAAAAATTGCAACTATATAATATTCACAAATTATATAATATATATTATTTTTATATTATAAAATATATATTATAAAATATTTAAAAACTATATTTTCAATTATCAATATGGTTCAAATCAAATCTTGATGTTTATAAAAGGCATATATTTAGCTCTGACTACTTCCACATATATATACATATATATACACATACATACACAGTAAAAGAAAATTTTAATTTCTAAATTTTTTTTTCTTTTTATAAATATAAAATATATAATTAAAATTTATTTAATTTTGTACTTAAAAATTTTATTTAAAGAATAATATATATATTTCTATATATAATTAATAACTTTTATAGAAAAAAATTATATGTATATATTATTTCTTTTCTTCTTAATACATACATAGAACAAATATTAAGATTTAAGAAATAATTTTTCACAATTTTTTAAACTTTTTTCATAAATTATTGTTTTTTAATTTGATAATTTAAATATAATTATATGTATATACAAATATAAAATATTTCTAAAATATTTGTAACAAATAATTAAAAATATATAAAAATATTTTAATTTTTATGAAGATAGTAAATTCTACAAAAAATATAAAGCACTTTAAAATAAGATTCAAGATTTCCACTGAAATGTGAAACAGAACTGAAGTTATTTCTAGATGTGTTGTTAGTCTTTCTCCTTCTCTGTAGTTCCCCTTCCTTTAACATAATATACTTACATTATCTTTATCATTATTTCTTTGATATTATAAATTAATTCAATTATTTTTTATTATTATGATAAATTTTATTTGAATCAGGAAATAGTATTAAAAGTTATATTTTTTTGGAATTTCAGATAGGAGCAGATGGTGTAAATTCATTGGTACGTAAAACAATGAATACACAATATGTGAAATGGGATTACAATCAAATGGGTATAGTTGCTACTCTTAAATTATCAGAGGTAAGTCATCATAAAAATGTTATATTATGTCAATATTATATAGATTATATTTTTATTTCAGCCTGGTGAAAATATTGTTGCATGGCAAAGATTTCTACCAAGTGGGCCAATAGCATTACTTCCAGTAATATTCTTTGTTGTTATAAACTAATACTAATTAAATACACCATTAATTTTAATTCTATGGTATATGGTTATAGTTAACAAATGACCTTAGTTCTCTTGTATGGTCATTGCCAATAGATGAAGCAAAAAGACTTTTAAAAGTTTCTGAAGAAGAATTTGTTGACAATATAAACAATGCTTTATGGAAAGTTTATCCAAAAGATGGTATAGTTGAAAGTGGTATGAAAGCACTTCAACAATTACTTGAAGGTTTGTCGTTACAAACTGGTGTAGTAAGACAATTACAACCATCAGTATCTGCTATTTCCGAAGGATCTCGTGCAGCTTTTCCTTTACAATTCGGTCATTCTGTATCTTATGTTCAAACAGGAACTGTTTTAGTGGGGTAAATAAAAAAAATATGAATTTTAAAAATATTTGAAATAATAAATTATATTATGAAATTATATATTATTAATATATTTATATTATATAATTATTTTTATTTTTTTGATGTAATAGATAATTTTTATGTAAAATATTTCAGAGATGCAGCACATAGAGTTCATCCATTAGCTGGTCAAGGTGTAAATTTAGGATTTGGAGATATAACAGTATTAGTTCAACTTCTTGCAGAAGCTGTTATAAGTGGAGTTCCAATAGGAAACGTAATGTATTTGAGAAAATATGAAACATTAAGACAGCGATATAATGTTCCAATAATGTTTGCTATTGATGCATTGCATCGATTATATAATGGAACAGCAGCTCCTATTGTCTTAGTTCGAAGTTTGGGACTACAATTGACAAATGCTATCCCAGTGATAAAGGTGAAATATGTTTCTAAAAATAATAAAATAAAGTATTATGTTTTATTTTATGCTAATTAAAATTTTATTGTTTGTTTTAGAAAGCCTTAATAGAACATGCATCTGGACAAATAGAAACTTAATGATGTTAACATTTAATGTAAATATTTATTAGTATAATATGTAATCAAATTTTGTAATGGCAATAATGTGTAACATATCAATAAAAGTAGAAAGTATAATCTAATATGTTATTTATATTAGAAAAATTATGCTAATTATATTAGTATCTATCAAAAAAAGGAAATACACACATATATATATATATGTATATATAGTGTCTGTGTATATATGTGTGTATACATATATATATACATATATATATATATGTATAAAATATTTGAATATTTTTTGTTGTTAATCATAGTGATAAATTTGTATTATTGATAATATCCAATATTTATTTAATTTTTATTATAAAAAAATTATAACAAAAGAGTAAACCTAATGATTTATAAGATTTATCGAAATGTAACTTCATCGATATCCGAAATAATAACATCGATATGTAAAGAAAAACGATGATCAATGTAAATTGATTATTCCATGTGAGCGAAGGTTAACAGTTTTGAAACGAAAACAGGTTATCATGTTACCTTTCCATAAAAAACAAGTAACTAAACAAATACTAAATAAAATTAATCGGATATTTTTAAAAAAAAAATTTAAAAATTGAAATATTCTCAAATATCATTTTTTAATACATAAATTTTGTCACATCTTTTACATGCACATAGTTTAGGTTATTACGATCTCCGAAATTTATGAACAATTTGTAACTTAGAAAGACATAAGTGAATTACGTAATTTTTTATACTTTATTTCATTTATGTGGTAAGGAGTTATTACTGAGGAAAAAAAATAATTTCGACTATACCACAAAGTAATTTAATACTTATAAAGGTTATAAATACTTATTTATATGATTATTATATTAAAATAGACAAATTTTATTTACTTAAAATTATTTAATTTCAGATCCAAAATATATAAAATTAAACAAAAATTTTGTTATTTTACTTTTAATTGATAATGTTTGTATCCAAAAAATTATTAAAAAGAGCTGCTCTTGGAATACTTGGATTGGGCACATTAGCATCTTTAAGAGCAAATGAATATGATTTGGGATCTATAGGTATTGTACGACTAGGACGTGCTGTAGTTACTGTTTTTATAATTGGAAGACATTATAAAAATGAATTATATGGAACTAATTTAAATCCAAATACCCAAGAATATGTTGACTTAAAATCAAAAGTACATAAATATGGAGCACAAAAACTCTTAGAACTTTGTTGTGCTAATAAAGGTGTTTATATAAAAGTAGGTCAACATATTGGTGCACTAGATTATTTACTGCCACAAGAATATGTTAATACAATGAGGGTATTACATAGCTCAGCACCACAATCATCATTTAAAGATATACTTACTGTTATTAAAGAAGATTTCAAGAAAGATCCATATGAAATATTTGAAAGTATCGATCCTGAACCTTTAGGTACTGCCAGTTTAGCACAAGTTCATAAAGCTGTATTAAAAAATGGTGGTATTGTTGCTGTTAAAATTCAACATCGATCAGTTAAAACAAATTCTTATGTAGATATAAAAACTATGTCAACTTTAGTAAAATTGACATCATTAGTTTTTCCTGATTTTAAATTTGACTGGCTTGTTGATGAAACTAAAAAAAATATTCCTCGAGAACTGGATTTCACTCAAGAGGGAAAAAATGCAGAAAAAATTCAAAATATATTTTCCCATTATCATTGGTTAAAAATACCAAAAATACATTGGGAAATTTCATCACCACGAGTTCTAACAATGGAATTTGTAAAAGGAGGTCAAGTTAATGATTTAAAATATATTCAAAATAGTAATTTAAATCCATATGAAGTTAGCAGTAAATTAGGCCGGCTTTATAGTCACATGATATTTATAGTGGGATTCGTACATTCAGATCCACATCCTGGTAATGTCTTAGTTAGAAAGAAAAATAATGAAGCAGAAATCATACTTTTAGATCATGGATTGTATGCAAATCTTTCAAATGAATTTCGATGGGAATATTCTAAACTTTGGTTGGCAATATTTGATGGCAATAAAACTGCAATGCAAACACATTGTGCTAATTTAGGTGTTACAGATTTGTATGGGTTACTAGCTTGTATGGTATCAGGAAGATCTTGGAATACAATTATGGCTGGTGTCCAAAAAACTAAATATGACATACAAGAAAAAGAAGAATTTCAAAGAGAAATACCAAATTTATTACCACAAATTAGCAATGTATTAGACAAAGTAAACAGACAAATGTTGTTAATTCTTAAAACAAATGATCTTATGCGTTGCATTGAATATTCGCTCAATACAGGATCAAGAATGTCAGGAATGTTAGAAATGTCAAAATGTTGTATACATTCTGTATATGGAGAAAAACTGAAATCTTGTACAAATGTATGGGAAAAATGGAAAATTTCTCTATCTAAACAATGGGCACTCTTTAAAATATCATTATATTATATATACTTAGGGGCATTAAATTTTAATATACAAAATTCTGTTAACTCATTTTTAAAGAATGAATTTTATACTTTTTAATATTACATGTTTCTAGGAAAAATATAAATTTATTTAAATCAAATATGAAATTGATTAAATAATATAATATCTTAAAATATGCTATAATTTTATTAATTTAAACAATTAATTTAAAAAAATATGTAAGTGTTCCTATATAAAATATATGAGTAAAAATTTTTTATTTACTTTTCTATTTCAAATAAATAATTTTTGCCTAACAAAAACAATAATATATTTATACGTTTATATATATGTTTTAATACATATATTTCAAAGTATATTTCAATAATTATGCTAAATTATTGTGCCATACTTTGATCATCTAATGATAATCAAGGTTATATCAGTTCAAGAATAATATTAGATGTTATAAATATGTATATATCTATTTTATATATATATATTTTATATTAATTATCTTTATTTCATTCTTATTATTTATTACTTACCTACCTAATATATAAAAATTTTAATTTTTTTTATTATATGTACATACTTGTATTCAATAATTAAAGAAAACCTTATACCTGACACTTTGTTATATTCAATAAAAATATATGACAATAAATATTAAGCATAAATTATGAATTCGTTTAATAACATTTACATATCTTTAATAACTATTATTTAATTCAAATAAATTAAATAAATAAGTATACATTTACATATATTTAATACGTACGATATAAATATAATCCAATCTTAGGTAATATACTATACATATATATATCTTTTATGTGGCATATACATGTATAATATATATAGATATACTTGTTCCCATGTTAATACAAATTTTAGAAAATTACATTTATATTTAAGATATCTATATATATATATATATATATGATATATATTGCAAAAATAAGAATACGTGCGTCATTCAATAGTCATGATTCAAGAATGTTTTATGACTCACGAAAATATGAAAAAAAATATTTTTATAAGTATTTATTATATTGTATCAATTAACAAAAAATTAAATAAAATAATTATCAATAGCATATGAAATTTAAAGAAAAATTATAAAAAAAAAATTATTAATATACTTTTGTTTTTAAAAATTATATTTTACTTTTTTTATTTTAATAATACATAATATAAAATGTATAAAAAAATTACTTTTTTTAATCAATAAATTTTTCATAGAATTTTAAAGTTATAAATTTCAAAAAACAATTTTTTTATTCTATATTATAAAATAATTCTATATTATAAAATAAGACGCAGAATGGAAAGCATCTTACATTTATTGGGCGTAACAGTTATTCTTGACAATGTTGCCACGTTTTAATTTCTAGAAAATTAAATATTTTTAAATTAATATAAAATTATTTTATTTTTATCATTAAAATTTTTTAATAATATTGTTGAAAAAATAATTATTTATTAAAAGTTCATATTTATTTGTGTATTGAATGTGATTTTAGATTTTTAAAATATTTGTATAAAATTTATAATTTATTATTATAATTTACATAACAAACTTCCTAAATTTATTAAGAAATTTCTTTATTTATTTTATTTTTTACAAGTATTGAATTAAAATAATAAGATCTATTTAATATTGTTAAAATTTACTTGATATTAATTACTTTTATTGCATAATTCTAAATTCATAAATGGTATTTTAAATTTTTATTTTTTGTAATATAATAATATATTTTTCATATAATATATAAACTTGAAAATTATAGAAAATATATAGATATATATTAAAAAACATTGATCGAAACAATGTGAAAAGATTTGGCAACATTGGAAAAGATCTGCAAAGGAAACGTATATGACGTTATACGAAACGATACATGTGATTGGTGAGAAATTGACCATACAACGCATTCATACGCCATAAGTTATTTTCTAAAACCAAAAAATTTTGAAATAATATGCAAAATATATATAAAATTTTTTATAAAGAATATCGCATACATATTTACAATTTAAATGCATATAATTATTTTTTAAAATTTTCAAAAGAATAACACTAATATAAAATTTTTCAAGGAACTATTTTCTATTGATCATGCGTAAGAACACTACATAACGGTAAGCTACGGAGTATATAAAGCCGCCATCAAACGCGCACGAAGGCATTTCCTGAGTCATTTTCGAACGGAGAAGGCTGTATCTTGCTCGGTGATTTATAGTCTTGTGTGTAGTTGTGCAACTTTCTTCCATTGTTCTACAAGAAACACGAGCCAGATACAGGTTGGTGTACTTCTTACTTATTCAATAATTAGGTGAAAAAGTTAAAAAAAAGTTATAAAAGAACGTGAAAATTCTTCAATCAATACTTCGTGCTAACCTATTTCTCAAGAAAGTTAGTTTCGATTAATATTACGACGCCAACGTTGGAAAGAAGGACATTTGGACTTACAAAAATCAACTAAGAAAATTACGAAGCATGGTGGCCACTTCGAGACCTCGAGAAATCGACATCGATAAACCAAGCCATACGGAACAATTGGCTAACTGGATTAGTAGAGTTCGCTGTAAAAAACTGATGTGTCGTCGAAATCGCAAACGTGATTTAAGGATCGAAGCAGTACTGACATATGCTCTTTTCAAAGCTGAACATGAATTACGCAGCAAGCAATTATCTAGAATTTCAAAATGGCAGCAATTTAAAAAACAATTTCTAAAGGATGCGGATTATTCAAATTGTGAATTCTACAATAATGGAGATATTAAAAATTCGAAGTCGTGCCAAGAAAATAACCCTTGGCAAGGTCCTTTATGTCCTGAATTAAGTAGTTTAGACAATTTCATGTCTAAATTGGGGCAAATTAAAGTACCACTGCAACGATGAAGGAATAAATAAAATATGAGTGATCAGGTCTGAAAAACCTGCGTCAGCGTCAAATCCAGTTTAAAAAGAAGATATTTAGCAGTTTTGTCCACAAAACGTTGACATTTAACAACTAAATGGAAACTCGAACCATAATGCAGTACCGTCGCATCGGTGCTGTGGGAATAGAAGTCACATTACTATCCTGGTGGTATATCTGGATATTTTTTACTTGCAGTCTCACCGTTTGAGATGGCATTGGGACGGGCGGAGGAACTTGCTGTTTGCAGCGATGCTGGGCGTACCGCAGAATTGGGGACCCCATGTTCTCTAGTCTCTACACCTTTCATTGGTTTGGTTTGTAAACTGTATCGGAACCAATGCATTTCTATTTGCAATTTTTTGTAATATACCAATCGAGTCCGTCAAACATGTTCAAAGAGCGTTTGATTCGATATTTTTTTTTTTTCAGAAGTATGGCGGTTTACATAAAAAATATGTACTTATATAGCTTAAAGAAAATTTGTGTAGTCAATTAATCTATAGATTTAATAGCGTTTTAAATGTTTACTTAATGATGAAAGAATAATTTTATGTAGATTTTGTAATTATTTATAAATGTTAATTAACAGTTTTGTAAATATTGTGATACAGCAAAACAGCAGCGGAAAAAATAAAAAAGAATAATAAAAATTGAAAATGTTAATAATTTTCCTATGATTTTTAAATCGCCATATTAATGCCAAAAATCCTTTTCAGTCCAGCATACTACATAAAATTCTGTCGAACGCAAGAGTGTCCCGCACGTGTGTCCAGGCTGTTGGTCGTCATCGGCGACACTATTTGGCCTGTCTATATATGAGATAAGGAATGGTGAGAGGATTGGTATGGGATAAACAAAGGGGCAAAATCTTTGTTTTTAGAAATTTGCACACCACGATCAAGTCGTACATAAACGTCTCATGTTCGCGCTTCCGTATCTTGAACATCCGAGCATCAACTAATTCAAAAATCAATGTGATGCGCGATATACATAGGCTTACTGTGACATACTGCAGCAACCTCGAGCAAGTTCTATTTTGGTGAGCTAATCCCTTCTGTTCGTTACCTGTGCAAATATATTTTCTCAGGTCCAGAAAAATTTTTCCAATGTTTATGCAACTGAGTTCTATATATGGGTTTCCCTGGCTTATTAATAATCCTGTTCAAAGTTGATCAAGCTGGACACTAGACATATATGTTGTCCCATTTGAATTAAAATATATAAAAGTTTCAAGGTATGGAGTAAATTAAACACATCTTTCTTGAATTTAGATGATCCAGTAAGGCGAGTTATTGCAAGTAGCACAACTAATTTTAATAATAGGCATGCATATAAAATATAAAAAGCTCAATTTGAATAGGAAATTGCTATAAATTTTTACTAGTATTATATTACATACATTTTTTTTGGGAGTCATTATTGGATGCTTACTTTTCACAGATTTTGATATTACTTCACTTACTCATTGGGTGGTAGAGCAAGAAGAACTTCATGTATTATTAGATTAACAGCTAAAAAAAAAGATTCCTGATAAGTGATATGCAACAGGGTTATGGAAGTAAAGAGACTGATTTATATTACAGTTCAATTGATACGAGAAACTACATTGGGAATTAATGAATACTCTGAAAAAATTTTTTAATGATAGTAGGGAAGCAGTAATACAAGGATGAGCAAGCAGGATATTTCTAAATTAAATTTTTAAGTATAACATGTAGATAATATTTTTATATTTTGATGTTTTTAAAAAACAAAATTGTTTAATGTTTTTAAATTCCAAGGAAATACATCATCAATGATTCTCGGACGTTATTGGAAATTGCTTACAATTAATTATATAATTATAATTAAGCAAGTAAAGGTTTGATTTGAAGTAAAGGTTTGATTTGAAGTTTGTTTAAAGGAATTTAATTTCTTCTACACATGGTTGCAAATGCAATGTGAAGTATCATGCTTTTATAATTGTTTTAAATATTTTTTCTTGAAATATTGTGGTTCGGGTGTTTGTTTTGTACTACAGGAATACCCAATTTCGTACTCATGGTGTACAACTAAACAACTACAAGCAGTTATTTCTATTCCTGGAACTTGTTGGATTCGTTGCAAAGTGGTATGTTGATGAGAATGATTTAGTTCTGAGTTGTAGGGGTGGGAGGGAGTTATTATGTTTCAGCTAAGCTTGGATAGAGAGAATCCATTTAATCGACGAGGTATATAAAGATGCACTTAAAATATATTTTGGTCCTAATTGGATACATATGAATAACTTAATCTTGATAAATATCGCATAATTTATATATCTATTTATATAACTGCATTTTTGACATGAAATATTGATCAAAAAAAAAAAAAAGGTAAAAAAAATCCGATTTTTAAAATAGAAAAGGTATGTTTTGGTTGAAGGTAACAATTTAATATGATAAATGACTTGTAATAAACATTAAATAGTGTTAAGAAAATCGAGAAATAGATGAAATTATTATGTAAGCTGCAGGTTTAATATTATATTTATCTTTCATCATAGTGGATGCTATATATTTTAATGATATTTTATAATAATGGAGATATATCCTATATATTTTATATGCAATATGCAATACCAGAAAATAATTCTACAATTTCAACTATTTGAACTATTCACAATTATAATAGATAAACATGATATAATATATTTCATTCGGCTGCTGAAGAAATTTAATTGACAATGGGAACAAGTTTCTGCTAAAAGAAGAGTAAAATTGATTGTAATATATATCATTGTTTATTATTTTACGTTTAAATATTTTAGACCTACAAAAAATGATATACATTTAATTTTAATAAATATATATTGAAGTTACATTTGATCTTGATATTTTTATAATTTATCAAGACATATAAGATGTAGATCTTATAGGAAAAAGGAGACAAAGGAATATAGGAAAGGTGCCGATCGTTTTATTTTTTCACAATGAGAAAAGGGGCGGATTAGTATATATTTCAAATAATTTAAATATAAAATCAGCTAAAGCATGTTTAATAAGCATGGTAGTGTTATATTCATGGAAATGCTCAAATTATCGTTATTTAAATGTACCTGTTTTGGCTGTTTTGGATGTTTGTGATTTTTGCTTCAGGAAATTGAAGACAATTTTATTCTTATATGAATTCTATAAGTTTCCTATTCTATGGAGAAAAATCATACCATGAAATACCTGAACATGTATGTATCGTATGAATATTATTTTTATTATATTTACAAAAAGTTGTCTGATATATTAGTATAAATATCAAATTTATATTCAAGATAACGATAACATTTAATAAATTTATGAAAATAAGTTTCCAATTATATTTAAGTATGATAATAAATTGGAATAAATTTTTATTGAAATTTTTTATTTGAAAGAAAAAGATGAAGGATTAAATTACTAATTCTATAGTATTTAGATACATTTCAGAAAATGTGATAAAGACAAAATTTTTTAAATGGAAAAGAGGTTACATCGTTATGTCATCTTAACTGATACTTGACTAAGACTTGGCAGAGTCTAAATTTATTTTAGATAATAAGAAAGTACAGTATGTGTCAGATAAATTAAATGTTCAAAAAATTTTATGTATTTTAAAAACATTTAAAATATATCATTAAAAGTAATCTCAATTATATCAAGACTAGTTTATCTAAATTGATAAACATGAGTTTTCATCTTCGATTTTACTTTTTGAAGAAAATTATCAAATATTAAATTGAATATATCTATTCAAGAAAAATTTAAATCAAGATAAATTGTGTTACAACTTGAACTGTTTTATGGCATAGTATACTGATATACTTATGTTCAATTAAATGGATCATTGGATAATTGGAATGCTAAACAAGATTTTTAAATTAATAACTTTCTAAATCTCTTAATTAGAAAGGAAATTCGAATTTATTCTATTTTTTTCTATTGAGAATTATTTTAAATCTAATAAATAATGATCTGAAATTAACTTGAGTAAAATCTGTCATATATACAACAGTTGAAGATTTTGAATGTAAAAAAATTGAAATAGAATTTAAATTTTCATTAAAAAGTAAGAATCATTTAACAAAATACATTTTTAATTAAATACATGATATTAAATACATGATATCAGTAATAAATTTTTTCATTTCAGATTTAATGATAAGTGTATATTTTCAGAATATATTTGAAAATACATTTAAAAAAATATAAAATATATGAAAAAAAATTGAAATAATTTTTTTTATGATAAAAAATAATAAATATAAAATGAATAGAATAATAGAAATAGAAATAGTAATCTATAATATTTGGCATAATTCGAATTGTTAAAAATAATTATATTCTTTGAATCATAGCTTAGTTTGAATTAAATCATTTAAAATACAAATATTATACAAATATTAAAATCATATTAAAATACAAGTTTCAATTTGGATGTAATTAAAAGACTATACTATCATAAAAATATCATAGAAGAAAAAACGAAGTTGATTATATAATATATTGTGAAAGAAATATAAGAATAATAGTTTAAAATCTGAAAATTAACAAAAATTTTCATAATGAATTCTTATGAATAAAAATATTAACACAAAATTTAATGGAATTTAAAAAAAAAAAATATTTCTAAAATTTTCTACTAATTTGAAATCTGAAGAAGAATTTTAAAATAGAAGTGAAATCTGAAAAAATTATATCTAAAAATAATAATGTAAAATTTTATGAAAATCAAAAAAGATTTTATATAAAATCAAAAAGGATTTATATTGATATTCAAAAAATTTAAATTGTATTCACTACATGTTATTTCATAAAATTTAGAAGAGAATCAACGTGGGATTTTATGGTATCCATTATTAAAAATTATTAAAATTATTATTAAAAATTCTTTTGAAGAAAATGTAGATCTAATTGGCTGACTACTACATATTCACAAAAATAAATACGAAATATTGGCCGAAAGTAATACACATCTATAAATAAGATTATATAATATATGTCAATGAATAAAAGATGAGTATTTAATTTTGCCTATGTGAGCAAAAGACAAAATAGTTTTTTGCAACTGCAACGAATAAATGAAAAATTTAATAATGGAGGATGCTTATCAATTCAATAAGATTTTATAAAATCCAAATAAGAATATCAATCCGAAACTACATGAGATTCAAAAAAGATTATCAACGTAGATTTTTGTAGAATTTAAAGAAAGCTATTAACATGAATCTTTATAGGATTCAGAGGAGACTTAGTGTCTTTTAAAATTCAAAGGTGATTATCAATGTGGGATTCAGAAGAAACTATTAACCCAAGATTTCGAAAATTTCAAAAAAGACTATCAACGTGGAACTTCATGGGATTTAGAGAGGCTATCGACGCAAAACTTCGTAAGATTCAGAAGAGGTTATCGACGCGGAACTTCGTGGGATTCAAAGAAGACTATCGACGCGGGACTTCGTGGGATTCAAAGAAGACTATCGACGCGGGACTTCATGGGATTCAAAGAAGACTATCGACGCGGGACTTCGTGGGATTCAAAGAAGACTATCGACGCGGGACTTCGTGGGATTCAAAGAAGATTATCAACGCCGGACTTCGTGGGATTCAAAGAAGACTATCGACGCCGGACTTCGTGGGATTCAAAGAAGACTATCGACGCCGGACTTCGTGAAATTCAAAGAAGACTATCAACGCCGTATTTCGTGGGATTCAAAGAAGATTATCAACGTGGGACTTCGTGGGATTCAAAGAAGATTATCAACTCCGAATTTCGTGGGATTCAAAGAAGATTATCAACATGGGACTTAATGGAATTCAAAGAAGATTATCAATGCGGAACTTAATAATAGATAATTAATACGGAATTTTATAGGATTGAAGGAAAGCTATCAACGCAACTTCGTATTCAAAAAAAATCATCGACGAACTTTGTGTAATCCAAAAAAAACTGTCATTGCCGGATATCATTCGGCAATCGGCATCCGGGATTCAAAAGGAATATTAAAAAGGACTTAATGAAATTCAAATGTTAGCGAAATAAATTTTTAAAAATATAAAAAATTATTGAAATTAAAATTAGAAACATCTCAAATTGTGATATTGTGAAATTTATCAAATAGAGTTAATAGAAGTGTGTTACTTAATTGAATTTTCTAAAGAAAGAATCTGCCTATTTTTGTTTTATGCATTCTCATATATATAATATTGCTGTATTAACAGATTCATACACTATGATAATATGTTCAATGAAATTGGCAAACTATATGTGAATGAAATGGAAATAAATATATTAAATAGAATTCTTTTTTTTAATCGAGTATCGATCGATCAATCATTCAAATATAGTTATATATTTTCTAATTTTTATTTGCAAAAAAATAATTTTAGCAATTTTGTTTTATACTTGCAAAGTAAAGTATATGAAAATTTTATTTTTTCCAATTTTTACTTGATCAAGATATCACGAATAAAATATAATGAATAAAACATAAATATCTATTTTTCAAAAAATGTTATTGATAAATTTTTATTTTTTAACAAATCAATATTGTATATGTATCATAGTCTTTATATACGAATAAAATGATAAAATGTTAAGCATTATATAAATTTTTTATACTCTTAAATATCGTGACATTTTATTTCCAATAGCTTAATTCAGAAAAGAATTGTTTGGCAATCATAAGTCCATATTTTTTAATTATCGGCAGAATATAAGATGTTAAGAATATAAATATATACAATATATATACAATATTGTAAATTAAAAACTATATAACTTGGATTGTTATGAAACTTAAAAATAAAGCTTTATTATTAAAAAATTTTATTCAAAAAAAATTATTTTTTATTATTAAATTTCATATATGAAATAACTGTAGTAATAAACAAATAACAAAATATTAAATAAATTATTGATATTAATTTATAGAAAATTATATTTCTGATAATAAATTAAATTAAAATAAACAATTTTAAGTAATACTGATAATATTCAATCAAGTAGAATAGATTTTTTAATGGATTATATATTCTGAAATATCGATCGCATAAAAAATCAGTACTTCCTATAATTTAAAACGGTAAATATATGGCAAGAATTATATTTAATTTAATCAAAATTTGATGAAGTTTCTAGATTTTAAAAATAATTTCTTTAATGTAATTCCACATTGTAATAAAATTGTCAATCAATTATAAACAGAAAAAATCAGTTAAATATAAAATAATAAATTAACAAATTAATGATCAGATAAAATTTTGAACTTTGTAACTTATTCAGCTTTAAATGTATCGTACTAACTAATGTTATCTCTTTAGTACCAAAAATATGTCTTTAAAAAAAAGATAAGATGGAATAAAATTTGAGAATTATCTTAAAAGCACTGATTCTTCAATTTTTATTTTATTTTATTTTCATCATTTTATCATTACTTGTTTTTTTGTTTATATTTGTTTTTGATATATAATGACTACAGAAAATACAATGTATTAATTGAATATATATTTTGTTTTTAAATTACAATGTATTTTAATCTTTAAAATAAAAAATATAAATATTTTAATTTTATTTAAAATAATTTAAAATATAAATATTTTAATTTTTATTTTTTAATGTAATGTTCAAGACTTTATAAAACATATTTTATTACATTATGCGAATGTTTTGATGTTGAGATCTATAATAGAATATATGTTGTAATTCTTGTTAGTAATTTTATATTGAAATCTAATTATATAATTATAATTCCAATTATTATTAACATTGCAATTATTTTGAGTCGAATTGATAATTTAAAAAAAAAAATTAAAATGATAAGGAAATTATAATATAATATTGTTATATATATAATATTATATATAATATATATATATAATATATTATATATATATATATAATATATTATATATAATATATATAATATTTTTCATGTAAAAAATGATGAAAAAATGCACTAAATATTAGTTTGTGCTTCATCTATGGTTCAATTTTAAATCAAAATAATATTTTAAATTTTTATTAATTATAAATAAAAATATTAGAATGAATGTTTGCCAAATTTTATTTTTATTGACTATTTATTATATTTTTTTATATACATATTAATAATATAATTGGATAGATATTAAAGTTTTAATCTTTTTACATCTTCTGGACGAAAATCTATTCTCATAGAAGCAATACGTCGAACTTCAGCAGGTGTTAATCTCCATGCTATTGCATCTGCACCACAATAATCTGCTAGTTCTTCCACTTTTTCAACACTTAATATAGTAGCTATTTGAGTTAATCGTGCAAACTTATCACGTACAGACCAAGAAGTAACAGCAGCTAAGTAACTTGCCAATGATCTTATTTCTTTATCAAGTATGAGACCTCCTGCCTAAATAATTTAATTGATTATTAAAAGAAATAAAATAAAGAATATCATAAAATATACATACTCTGTTAAATGTAGATTTCAATACAACTTTTTCTAAACGAGCTGTGACTTCGGCAGTAAGAAGACCAATTAAGGCATCATAATTAGATGTTGTTAAACTACCTTTAAAACTTTGAAGTAAACCTTCTAAATTCATAATTAAAGTTTGTACAAAAGGTTCTTCCGTTTCATATCTTAATAAGTCATCCTATGAAATTTTACATATTTACAATTATGCATATTTACAATTATATATTAACATAATTTTTACCTCGTTTATATGATGATCTACAGATAAAAATGCATCGACCCAAGGTGTGACTCTTGGTTTGACGGCACTTATTCGCAATTGTTCTAAGCCATAATCAGTAACAGCTCGCAAAATCGACATAACACTTTTTAAGCCAGACAGGCAGCTATCGATTTTACCTCTATCTTTATTTTGCATATTAGGAAATGTTGCATCTATTTCTGGACTAAGACTTTTACATAGCGTTTCGACATACTCAATACTTACATCAGTATTATTTAGATAAGCCTATATTATATAAGAAATGTATAAATGAATTAATATGTAACAAATATTAAATAATTTCAACATTATAATCAATTTTACCAAAAATGTTAAACGTGCGAGTTCCGTATCTGAAGTTTGTAAACGACCATGTTGTATACTTGTTGGAAGAAGAGCATTATAAGCTTGTGTTAAATCTAAATATCCTGCTGGATAACCTTGTCGTAATCGATTTCGTAATCTATTTGCAAATTCCCCTTCTAATATACCACAAGCCATATTAACAACAGCACAAACACCATCTATACTCCAACTTGACATAGAACGCCTATATGTGAAAATTTTAAAAATATAATAAGTATATATTTATGATGTAGTACAATGTAAATTTTTTCAATACCTTATACATTTTTGCACTATAAAGAATACATCATCAACCATACTAGATGTTTGTTGATCTTGATCTAAAGTATCCATTCCTAATGCTTTATTTACACTTTCTTCAAGAAAATATCTTTCTAAAGCAAGATAAGCACTTAGAAGTTCTTGCATGCCATGTGCTAAATCAGAATTATTTATAATATTTTCGAATTCACTTATTAAATTTTTGTATTGCATATCATTTGTTGCGCTAATTTCGATATCATTCTATAATAAAAATATAATAATGCTATACAATTTTTATGTTATAAAAAATATTTAACTTACTTTAACTCTTCTTTTTAAAAATCTAATGTATAATTCTGCACGTGAATGCATTATAGTAATTTCTCCCAATAATAAGTCAAAATCTTTAGGATCTGCCCTTTCAGAATTTGATTTTCGAACATGTTCATTTACAATCTGTACTTTTTTAGATATATATCGGTGTTTCATAAATTCTGCAATAATCTTTTTAATTTGTCTAAATTTGATATAAGTAAATAATACATGTTATTTTTAAGAATATACATAGTTTTTTTTATATATATTAGTAGAAATAATATACCTATCACATTCTTTTTGTAAAATAGAAATAGTCATTAATAATCTTCCAGGACCATAATATGTTTCAATTATTGGTTGATGTATCTCCACAATACGAGCAATTCCTTCAAATAGTAACGTCATGGTATCAGAAAAGATAACTGATGCTCTTTTATCATTACTTTTTATTTCCAAAGCTGCTTTTAAATTTTTTTGAGCTGTTTCTTGCAACTAATTGAACAAATTATAATGAATGATATAATATATGATAATGAAACGAATTATAACAAAGTAAAAAGTATTAAGAATATATATATATAAAATTATATAAAATATATAATATTTGAAAATTAAATATTTGAAAAAAACCATATATTTATTACCTTTGTGCATAAATAACTACAAAATTTTTTAAGACCTTCAATATGCATTCCTAATAAAGGAAATATTTTAAAAAATCTTTCAACAGATGCAAGATCTTCTGATTTTACTGCTTCATCGAATTTATGAGTAACTACAGTTCTAAGTTGTAATGCAGCTTGTTGTAATGTAATCAAAGAAGAACTAATATTAGTGTGATCCATTAAAATGTCTTCAGCTGTTCTTTCTAATAATTGTTGATCCATTGATAAATAACGATGAACATGTGCTGCACCTTGTTCATAATCTTCATTACGTAATGCCATAGCTACTCCTTCACTACATAATTGTAAGTCAAGAATGTCATTAACACGTCTTTGACATTCATATACTCTACTCTATAATTATATATATAATTATATATTATAAATAATAAAAAAAATTATTCTTAATCGTATAATTAATATTATAATTTAACTTACCCTTGCTAAATCTAATTGTCTTACTTTAGCACTTACATTTTCTGCTAATTCATTAGTACATGTAATCATATTACAAAATTTTTCTCCTTCTGTACGTATTACAACTACATTAGGTAATACCTTACTTATATTTTGTAATTTCGCTTCTACATGACATTGTCTTGAAAGTATATTTTCTAAATTTTTTTCTATTTTAACCTGCAATTAAATAATTATTTTTTTCAATAAGTGTGAACTAATTTTTAAAAATATAAAATAAAAATATTAAATTTAGAAAAACCTCATCTTCTGATAATTTATTAAGTATTTGAGTTAGATTTTCTTCATTTAGAGATAAATCCATGATACACATTGTATTAATAATGATAATAGTAAATTATAGAAATATTGATTATAATATAATAAATTTATTAAATACTCTCAAATTTATATTTAAAAACAATTCTAAACTTAATTTCATTAAAAAATGAAATTTATATTAATAAGAAAAAAATAATTTAATCATATATAATTAAAAATTTTTTAATTTGTTACATTGTTTAACATATTTAAAACTCAATATAAATGATTAGAAAATTTAATAATGAAGTATCTTTTACTTTATTTTTTTAAATTTACTTTTATTCCATTAGATTAATAATTTTAATCACTAAATTAACAAATGAATAATACAAAAAATTATATATTTTCATTAAAATTTTATTATATTATATTTTTTGAATTATTTATTTATAAATATTTATTTTATTGTTTTCAAAGGGATAAAATAAATATAAAAAAATATATTAAAATTGCATATTAATAACTAAATCAAATTATTATTTTTTATAAAAAAAAAAATGTTCTGGAAAACTTTTGCTACAAGATCAATTTTATCTATAAATTTTTATAATATAAAATATAAATAGACAAATAAAAATTGAGATCAGTTACAGATATTCATGGATATCAGTATAAATGAAAATTCACCAATGACAACGCCTTTAAGGTATTCTACACATGTATCGAAACGTCCCACGCATCGCGCGTGGTTTCTGTAGGAAGTTGAGTTCTTTCCGCGCATCTTACGCGTTTTCCTGAAGGAAAATGGCTACCAGCTGTCATTTAATCGAAAAGTGTAACTTGTAAAGTTAGTATAGGATTGTGTGAAAAATTATTTAACGTGTATAAGATTGCTTGGCGTGATGCAATTACATAACGTTGAAATCGTTTAATTGATCGACGCCACTTTTCATATCCATGCAGAACCCGTGAAACTTCTACAGTGCCATGAAATTTTATTCCAATTTACTGTTTACAGTTTTTATTTTTTGCGAAACATATCAGGACTAACAAGTCAGCGCTATTTCTCCATTTTATAAATAATTTAATCATTTTAATAATCATTTTATAATTATTACTGAAAATTTAACTGCGCTATAAAAGATTACAAATTTTTTGATCTTACATCATTATTTTTGGAGCACATTAATTAAAAATACGGTAAATTATTGTTTATGAATCTTAGATATAAATTTGCGATATGTATATATATATAATACATATATATAATATATATATGTATATACATGTATATATATATATATATATATATATATATATATATATATATAAAACATGACATATATATATTTTTTCTAATTATTCTTTTTTATTTTTTTTGTAATTATATATATTTTTTTTAACATTCTCAATATGTTCTTTAACATTTAAGCAAAACTCTTATATTATTTCAGAAAATCAGCATGGGTTCGAGTCAACAATTTTCTCTTAGGTGGAATAATTATTTAAAACATATTACTTGTGCTTTTGATACATTAAGAACAGAAGAAGATCTTGTTGATGTAACTTTAAGTTGTGAGGGAAAAAGAATAAGAGCACACAAAATGCTTTTATCTGCATGTAGTACATATTTCAGAGATTTATTTAAGGTAAACTGAAATTAAAAATTATTATTATATTATTATATTAATTCATCGATATTATCATATACCAAAAATGAATATTATTTATTTTAATATAGGAAAATCCATGTCAGCATCCTGTTATAATATTTCGTAATGTAAAATTTGATGATTTGGCTGCACTAGTTGATTTTATGTATCAAGGTGAAGTAAATGTGGTTCAAGAGCAATTAGCTAGTTTTTTAACAACTGCTGAACTACTTGCTGTTCAAGGTCTTACAGATGGTACAGGAAAAGATAATGATAGTTTAGTAGAGGTATGTTTCACACTGTTATTAAATATAACGAAACATTTCTATTTAAATTAAAATAATATATTTCATAATTGCTCTAAATGCTAAAAATATATAATTTATGTTTTAGGATGACATAGAAATTCCTAATGAACCTGAAATTCAACTTCAAAATGCTTCTAGTAAAACTGTAACAGATAAAAGAAATAAATCACCTTCATCTCCAATGCCTTATCACGCTGTCGATTTACAACCTGATGCTCCGCCGACTAAAAGACGAAAATGTAGAGAAAATGCAAATACAAATGCAGATAAGACTATAAGTAATGCTTTATCTGCAAAAGATTCTGAAAATAAGACTTCAGAAAATCAATCAACAACTGGTTCAGATCCTGTTGAAATAATTCCTCTAATGCCAAATTTAAAATTGGAAATGCCTGAATATCTAGTACAAGATGGAAGTAGCTGTAGTTATGAAGAACAGAGTTTAGGAGACAGTTCGCTAAATAAAATTGGTATAGAAGATACATCATCTAATACTCCTGATCATGATCAGAAGCCTGATATCACTCAAACATTTTATTCAAGTAACCAATCTACTTCAGATAGTTTGGATCTTAAACATCAAACAGCTGATGTTGGTAAGACTTTTATTATTTTTGTCTTTTTTTAATACATATAGAAAGATATTTTGTATAATTTTGTTTGTTAATTAGGACACTTGCTTTCAAAACCTAGTACTTCTGGAGAAAGATTAACGCAAGAAGCAGTACAGGGTAAGTGGTTTCGTTTAATTTATTATTTATCTTACTTCAATATGACATGTGATTTGATGCTATGCCATATCTTTTAATATCTGAAAAAAATTTTAACAATTACTATAGAATTATGATAAAAAAAATATCAATAAAATATAAATAATATAATTTCTGTATTTTACTATATATAATAATTTTAAATGAATATGATAATATTTGACGCTTAATAAAACACAAAATTTTATTTTTTAATTGAAAGAAATGGCATTGCAAACTAATTTTGAATTTTGTATCCATATGTTATTAATATTGATACTTTATGTTTAATATTCAATTATTGATAAGATAATATTTTACTATTTTAATATTATTTATAAATATGAAAAAAAATTACTTCCTTTTTATCATAAAATTATTCTTATGTTATAAAATTCTATGAATCGTTTATAAATTGAAATAGATTAATTGAATATGGATACAAAAATGATTTTTAGTCATATCTTTAAATATAACTTTCATTTACTTTGATTTATTATCGGAATTCGATAATATATGCAGACTCGGAGGAAAATTAATTTTATTATAATTAATTTAAAAGATAATTGCGTGAACTTTTTATAATATAAATCATATAAAAATTCATTATAGTGTATAATTTTATATTATTGTTACATATAAAAAATTTGTTATTAATTCATAATGAAAAGACATAGAAAAAAAAGAATTCAATTACTATTTATAATTTCAATTAGATTGGGCAACAAGAAAATAAGAAACTTAATAAAAATTTTCATTTACAAAGTTTTATTTGATAATCATTTATTTTTATACAAATATCAGGATCGGGTTAATCAAACGATCATATAGTAAAATATCTCGATACAAATGTCTTAATTAAAAAAATTATTTAAAAAAGAAATTAATTTTTTTGTTGTGAAAAAGTGTTACTTTATTTCTATTAATCATTTAACCGTACTATAGTATACAATATGCATGGTTTTTGGATGTAAATGTATAGGCACTCGGGTGTAGGTTGAACTGTAGATTAGTAAGCATTGCCAAGTGCTGTATGTGTGCCGACAATCATCAACATTCCCTTAATAACTCGTATAAAGCCACCACTACGTTCCTTCCGAGCACTAACTGTAAGCATATTTCTATGTATACACTAAAATATCTTTCAACGCTGGTATAAGATAACTTCTTTGAATCCGCAAAATTTTTACAGGACACGCACGCACGTGTGTGATGCAAAATATCTCACATGTCGATATCACTTGCATGCAAATTTAATCTTAAATTAGTTCATTTTCTTACCAATCACGAATAAATGTAATTAAAATAGCGATAAAAATTGAAAAAAAAATATTTAACAATTCTTATATTTATTTATTGTGCAATTTTATATATTAAGTTTAACGTATAACGATATTATCAATATATATTTGTTATCAAATCAATATTTATATCGTCTTTTTTAATCTTTCATTTTCGTTATAATTTGTAAAATTTTATTGTTTGATATTTAAGATTAATTTGCAAGCTTGTATTCATTTTTTATATAAGAAAATTTTGTAGCCTTGCAAAACGACTAATTTAAAGTAGTAATGGTGGTGGTGCTGACGATAATGGCATGTTAACGATTCTTTTCTGTATTCGAATACATCTTATTACTTATTCCTTCTTTTTATATATATATATATTATTATTTATTTTCGTAAATTGGAAAAAATCAATATGGGTGCGTGGATATCCGATATATTCAAGTCGAATCAATAAACTTTTCGAACATGTTTATTTCTTATTTAGTGAATTTTAATCGCCTATGTAGGAATGTCAAAACTAATTGTTCGTCCGTTCGTAACATTATTTTTCGAAGCATTATAAAATTCGAATTGTTCTTTAAATTATTTTTAACGCGACCCGATCCGAAATACGTTTAGCCTGTTTAAAAAGAAATTTCGGCAGGTAGGTAAGCAGAATATCTTTATGTTTATCATTTGATTGTTTCAAGCAGGAGCATGAATTATTCGAATAAGCGCGAAATTAATAAGTAAAGATAATTACATTTTTGCGTGCGTATAGAATAGTGGAAACAGGGTTTCTGGAAGAATTTATCTCATGAAATGTTTCATTCGAAAATAATAGAAAATTGAATAATCGTGTACAATTCATATGTAATTTTTCAAGCGTATAAATAATAATTATTGTAAATAATTGAAATGATACAAGAATCGATGTTTGTTGCATTATTGTTATATTAACGCGCGAAATTGATGCGATCAAATTGATGCCCTATATTATTTATTAAAACTATTGTGTGTGTGTGTGTGTGTGTGTGCGTGGACTACTTTCCTTTACTCGCACAATAAGCGCTTAACATCTTATGACTCAACGCGATTCGATATAAATTGTATAATTGTATACCGACGCATCGTTCTTCGTCAACACTTTGACGTGCCGAATCGAAGAATTGCATTATCTATCAAGACAACAACCAATCTTCCGTCGATCGATTTTCTTCAAACTTATAACCGCTATCGATACACGAGTATTTATACGGAATATTGTTCTGTATATGAAAACGAGCAAGTTTCATAATATTTTCCTTCTTCTAAGCACACATTATTATTTCGCGTTTTTACGCGAAGATCGTATTGAAGCGCAAAAAATAAACGTGCACATGCCCGAACAGAAAGTAGAAAGAATACGAAAAACGAAAAAAAAGAATATTTCCAATCGACCGAAGCACGTATCCAAGTAAAAATATATAAAAAAAAAGAGAGAAAAAGAAAGATATAAAGAAAGACGTGAAAAGAAAGAAGCTGATTTTTTCAATAATCAAAAAGAAAGGAAAAGAATGATTCATCGAGGATTTAATTTTTGAGCGTAAAAGGAGAAGCATTCGCGATGAAAAAAAGAGAGAAAACAAAAAAAAGTATATAGAAGCAAAGTGCGTTGCAACTTGAAAGGAACGGAGGGAAACTAGGGAGAGAGGGGTGAGAGAGAGGTAGGGAGTGGAAGGAGAGAGATTCGATCGACGGTCCGAGAAGAGAAAGGAGGAAGGAAAGAAGGGTGATGGAGAGAAAGAGAGAGAGAAAGATTCGGCTAGCACCTGGCAATGCTACATTTCCATCTAAAACACGCATACACGTACGAAAATATACTCGTGGGTATTGGTATCGCTGATACTCTAGACTGGCTTTTCACGGCTACGGGATTGGTTGGTGCTGGGATTGGTCGTTAAAGAAATTTTGTTTACTAATGGTTGGCTGCATGTGCACATATACTTAAGAATTGACTAACCGAAGTGTTTGGCCAATGTGTTTTCTTCAGGAGGGATTACGTACGTATCTGGTCAGCCGCATAGCCTCAGCAAAGCAAACGGCCACGGAAAAGTATGTGTACACTGCAAGCAGCGCGGAATGGTCACATCACGTGGAAAGCTCAGGCAGACGCGCTTCAAATGTTGGCCCTGCAATGCCTGTTTGTGCCGCTGGCCATGTTTCGTCGATTTTCACAAAATGCGCGCCATCCCGCACATCCCACCCCCATAGCACCAACTCGCCCCCTCCGATTGCCCACAGTTAATATCGTTACTCGACTAATTGTACCCTCCGCTTTTTCATTTTTTTTTTTTTTTTTTTTTCTGTTATACATCTGCGACCAAGGAAAAACGACGAGTGAATCGAACGGAAAGACGATAGGAAGACGAGAACGAAAGAAGAGAAAGAGAAAAAGAGGGAGAAAATAAGCATTTTTTTTTTTTCCTTTGTTTCTTTTTTTCCCCCCTTACTCTTTTATACCGAAAATATTATATATAATTTCGGTCAAGTTGTGTACGCTTGTGTATATTTTTAGGAAACGTATAATTTTTTTTCTCTCTCTCTTTTTTTATTTTTATTTAAAACTCTTTTTTCCTTCTGTTTCTGATGCGCTCGTGAATATATTTTGTTATACCGCTTTCGTACTCTTCACGTTTTTCTTTAACGGTCTTAATCTCTTATGTACCTTGTGATCGTTGAGTTTATCGCGCAAGATTATTGGGTGCGATGTGCGTTTTGCGTGTTCTTTCGATACGAATGCGTGATCGGTTTGCACATTACCTTTTCGTCGAAACAACTAGGGTAGATGTAGTAGGGTTATATATAACGCGTAATGCGTTTAGGTGATAATTTTTTTTTTTTAATCTTCTCAATCATTTTAACGCAAAGTATGCGCACGTTCGAGAATGTGAGAATATTTTATTTTCTGGTCTTTCTGCTGGACATAGAGGCTGTTTCGTGAAGAAAGCAACAGTGAACACTCGTTTAAAACTCGTATCGTACTTCGAACGTGATCTTGCTTTATCGCAAGTATCGTCCATTTATATATTTTTTATAATGTAATGTTAGTTGACAATTTAGCGTTTATTTATAATTCGTATAAGTCGTATAAATTGTCAGTCAGCCAATCGATTATTATTATAAAAACGGATATTTCGACCGTTTGTATTTTATATTTGATACGACTTTACTGTGCACGACGATTTATTATCGATTTATTATGTGTCGTTATTTAATTTAATTTTCATTCTATACTATAAGACTGCGACGAGTAAACTCGTTATCAATTCATACGATAATGCTCTACTAGGCTTTTTGTCGACGGTACTTACAATTATAATATATATAAGACATATAAATTATTATTTGGCACCTTTGTCCGAATAGCGGACTGATCTAATTCGTCCATTTTTTTTTTTTTTTTTTTTTTTTTTTTTTATAAGTAAGTATTTTTTTTCGACGATATTTTTCATCTGTTTATTGCGCAATTATAAAATCTCGATGTTGCAAATCGTATTACGCTATTATATTATTTTAATCATCGACACATTAACATTCGTTTCAAGTGATAATTTTTAATGAGTGGCTCAAAATAATGATTCTGTCGATTCAGAGACTACGAGAAAAAATATTTTATATAAGAAAATTTATACGTTATCATTATCGTTATCATTCTCGTTATGTTCCGAAGAT